GATAGATAGATAGATAGATAGATAGATAGATAGATAGATAGATAGATGTGATGGTTGTTCATACTGAGTCTGATATACGCAGCATCAAAGTAAAAAAAAACCTGTATCCCATGGGAACGTCCCTTCTGTGACTCCAAGGGAGCAGTTGATCAAGCCAGCTGGGGTCTGTGCTTACGCATTTGTTCGCATGATGACAAACACTATAAATATATATATATATATATATATATATCACCTATAAAATCTTGTGGAGCCTAAAGATATCAAAACATGCAAGGGTCGACACCTGGCCCAGCCTTCTTTATGCCAGCCTACATAGATTTGTTATAATTAATGTTGGAACAAACGCCTTGCAGCCTGAACGGTTTAAAGGTGTAAAAAGTGTGGAGATGTTGTCTTGAAGAGTCTATATAAAGCTCTGGTGTAAAAAAAAACAACAAAAAAAACAGGTTGCCCTCCCCTCCCCACCACCTTTTCCTCTTTGCCAGCTCGTCCCAGTGATCGTATCGCTCAATCACAAATACTTTGTAAGGCTGGGATTTATGGTAATATATATCTGGATGCAAAATATTATGAGAAGGAAAATAATATATTTAATGTCTTCTAAGTTTGTCCTAAATATTCTTGCATTAAAATTCTTTTCTAAATATCTGGTATTAACAATGAGTGAAATGTAGCCTAAAATTAATGACATAATAGGACTTATGGCACATTGTCATCATTTACGAGGGACTGAACCAAAATGCGGAGGCAGTGTGTGAAAAACAATTAGGTCTACTTAAAGTCAGCATTCTCTGTATGCTGTTATAAATCCAATTTCCGGACTATTTTTTAAGTTAAGTTACCTACAGCTATCTTAATGTCTTGCCACACATTGGGATGAAGTCTGGACTTTGTCTGAGTCGTTACAATACCCTTGTTTCTTTTCCTTTGTTTTCAATCATTCTTATGTTATGTGTAATGTGGATAATTTTTGCTGTTTTGTGACCCCTTTGAAAAAAGCTTTAGCTGTCACACAGCTTGCTTAATGTTTGACTCAGGAATATGTTGGTCTACAGAGGAGTTCAACTGGATGACCAGGTGTCCTGGTCCTGTGGCTTCCGAACAATCCCAAATCATCACCCCTCCACCACCAGTGCTTGACAGTAGTTTTGAGGTGTTTAAGCTGATCTTTACATTCAGTTTAGATGTAATTTCAATAACCTGAGCAGTGCAGCTCCTTTCTTTTTAAAGAAAAAATTATATTGACCTGGATAACCTTTTTAACAAGCAATTCTTGTTCAGCCTTTTTCAAATTGTAATGTTATGAACTTTAAAGTCCAACATATTGATTAGGGCCTTAAGATCCTGAGATGTTTTATTACTTTTTTGTAGTTTCTCTTAGTATTGCACTGTATGGGAATTAACTTGCTGAGATGGTCACCCGACAGGATGACTGGCAACTGACCTGAATGTTAGCATTAAATCAATATCATCTTTGGAATGTATTGTCCTTTGTCTGAGGTGGTATTTGATTAATCTAAGACCTTGGAAGGACCAAATTATTTCATTGAATGGCCTTATTGTGTGCTTTCTTTTTATGCAAATATAAAATAACAGTTTGGTGTAATCTAACATTTGGTGTAAAGCTCTGCTATAAATGCAGCTCTTATATAAAATCATAAAGATCTATTTTTAAGAACCGTACAGATTAGAGAAAAAAGATTAAACAAAATCCAATTGAAAATGGTATTATGTGGACAAAAAGCACAAACAGGTCCTTATGAGGTACACAGAGCGATGGGAATTTATCCAATGACATGTTTTGTGGTCTCTTGTCCAAATGGAGGAGACACAACAGCCTTGTCCGGCAGCCCACGCTTGTCATCTTGTGCAAAAAGCCCCACTGGTTATCTGTTAACACTAGCCTGTGTACACATTAGAGGGCTGAACATGAAAACGGACGCTATTAATATCATTTTGATCATCACCGTTTTTATAAACTCGACTGTACACCTTTGCTTGATGGCAACAGCTTATCAGTGATAATCTTTCCCCCTCTCCAACCATCATCCCCTTTTAAATAGGATATTCTATGTTTCACTACAGGAAAAAGATGTGTAAACAATTAAACTGAAATAGGCTGTTTCATATGTAAAGTTCAAATTATTCATGACAATTACAATTTCATACAATGGCATGTGTATTTTGTTATTCAACATGTTCCAACTTTGAAGAACTCCAAGTATGTATTAAACTTTTTAATACAATGTGATGATGAGTATCTTCTTCTGTCTCACTGTGTTTATGATACATTTGGATTCGTTCTATTAGGATGTTATCAATTTCCACCGAAGGACTAAACAGTGATAGAGCAGTGCATAGTGACAGTACCCATACATTTGAGAAACCAATAGACATCTTACCTAAATTAGTTAATATTCCCTATTTTGTATTATTTATCTATTTTTTTCTCGATTGACAATCTAGATAAAGTTAATGTTTTTTTGCAGATCTGACACAAGATGATAGCAACCACATGCTCACGTCTTTCTCCACCTTGCAATTTCATGTTTTATTTTCATAATCTGCTGCTTTAGTTGCATCATCCCCTTGGGCTGCCTTTTGCAGCTTTAAAATGAGAAAGGATTCACGGCCAAAACTGAAGGTGCTAACATATTTTGCACCTCATCCTCTCCCAGTTTACAGTAAGTTTTCTCAGTCTGCTAGAAACTCATAGGGCAACTTGGATGAACAACCTGAGGCAATATGAATGGGGTTACTCTTATTTCCTGGCTCTCTGTGCTTGCTAACCACATCCAGCCTATCTCGTTTGAATAAAAAAACATATACATATGAAAATAATATAAATAATGTGACAAATGAATTCTATTTACCTTTAACAGTTAAACAATTTTCTCATCTGCCCCACAGTTCACACTATGGGTGGATATCTGACAGATTAGCTATTGATTCAAACTAATAGATTTGACCAATTATTGACCCAATACAGTGATCAGGAATTGTCATAAAAATGCAGTAGTTACATAGAAGATCATATTTAATTTTATATGTGGTTGAAGTAAAGGTTTGAAAGAAAGTACTTAGATTTTCTTTTGAGAGACTTTGAATGCCACAAACTAAATGTCACAAGGAACCATCTGAGCTGGACAGGTCAATAACTTAAATGACAGCCACACAGAGGAAAGTAAAAGTCAGCAAAACTGGGTTTGTCCCTGCAGTGAAGTCATGAGAACAGACACTGAGCTGCAGTAACAGACTCTCTGCTCTCTCCAGGGACAGACTCAAATCTGTCAGCACCATTTCTTAATGCACCTCTCTGAGGAAAGAAAGGGATAAAACCCTTCTTCCCAAATACACCTCAACAAACACACACACCTCCAACCTGGACCCCTCCGACACGCCTGCTTTGGCCAATTTGCATCGTCTCTCGCAGGTTTGCATCATTTCTGTCCCAGGACACAGCTCACTCTTGCCAGCACTCCATCTCCTGTATCAAGCAGAATGAGGGTCTTTGTAGTTGGAGACTCAGTGCAGGTTATTGTGATACAGAAAACAATATCCCTTTTACCCTTGAGAAGAAGGGAGAGCCAAACTGAAATGGTGACAGATAAACTCATCAGATCATGCTTGAGTATCTTTTTCATGTAACAAATGGGCACTCTACAAATCTAACCAAAGTGTTTTGCAGTGTTGTGAATGAATACCTTTTCTCTCTTGGTTACAATAGCACAGTATAATGCTTCTTTCATCTCTTTACTTTTTTTTTCCTACATAAAAGGCCTGTATTGTTTATCAGATGAATCTTCAACGTCTTGCTTTATTTGCACCAATTAGCTGTGATAATAGATACAGGCAAAACCTTTCAGAACATACATAATACAACGAAAGCTTTAACAAAACGATTTGGACAAGGGGGTACATCAAAATATTCATGTGTTTTGTTTGTTTTGTTTTAAGGTAGTCTTGACAGCCTGGTGGCTACATAAACTTACGTAACTGCCGACCCAAACAACGCAAGCGCCAAACTGTGGGTTGAATAGAATTTCTCTGCGTTAGTTGGTTTTAGGTTAGTGGTTTTTGCTGGGATTTCGCCTGACTTTCTCCCTGAGTTTTGAGTTTTCACACAGCTACACTCTCTGCTGTCTAATATGTCGGTAGCGACATCTTGTGTCCAACAGCTGACATTAATTTGCAGCGAAGAGGCCAATCCCGGATAAGAATGCATCGATGCCAGAATATTAACCAATGAACGCTTGCGATTTTCACAGCAAAAATGACGTACCTTGCTTTGTGTAGGGCTCTATGACAAGAAGCAGATCTGTAAAAATTTCGTTTCACGCCACATAAAAGTAAAAACAATCAGGTAAGATTTACACAAAATATTTAAGCAAAAAATATGTTTAGTTTTGTTCACTGTGACAATTCTATGTCTTTGCAAACCGATAGGAGATGTAAGTTTGATAAAACTCATTAGCTAATGAACGGTACTGCTAGCTAACGGCTAGATAAAGTCATTAAATGAATGAACTTATGGGGAAAAAGTAAGCTTTACCGTCAGGCTTTGTGTTATAATTCATGAAATGCCTTAATAAATGCACAGCTCTATTTCCACAGATATATGTTTTACTTTCTATCAAGATGAAGGTAGTTAATTTGAAGCAAGCCATTCTGCAGGCTTGGAAAGAAAGATGGAGCGACTACCAGTGGGCCATCAACATCAAGAAAAACTTTCCCAAGGGGGCAACATGGGACTATCTCAACCTTGCAGGTTCGGGATGATAATTTGACGCAATAACTTGAGTTTCATTGGATATTCTGCATGCATCTTAAGTTTATCTGCTCGTTACAGAGGCTCTGATGGAGCAAGCACTGATTGGTCCTTCCCCCAACCCACTGATTTTATCTTACCTTAAATATGCTATAAGTTCACAGGTAGGAGAAAAAAAACTTTAAAAAAAACTTTTGGGTAAAATTATCACTATTTTGCTAATTGTAAATGCTGTCCGCTCTTGCCTTAGATGGTCTCATATTCCAGTGTTCTCACAGCCATCAGCAGGGTAATTTGATGACTTATTATAATTATGATGGCATAATTTTTACAGCAACATTTTCAGGGTGTTCACAGATATGTCTCTTTTTAACCAGTTTGACGACTTTTCCCGAGAGTTGTGCGTCAAGTCACTGCTGGAGATAATGGACATGTTCTGCCATCGTCTCAGGTGTGTTTAATTGTATCAAAACTCATGCATTCAGAGGTCTTTTATGTTATTTATCACTACTTATTTAGTTTTATTTGACTCCTTAACTGTAACCCAGATGTTAACTGCAATCTCTTAAGAGACTGTGCCAGAAATCTATAGTCATTAAGTGGCTACTAACTGTTAATAAATCTGAAGGGGCACAGCTTTCATGATGGGGAAAACCTTTATTTATCACATTTATTTTTCTTACTGCTTTTAACAGTTTTTATGACATCACATCTTCCCTCAGATAACCTAGATTAATGGCAGCCACTTTACATTCAAGTTGTTTCTGCCATCCATTCATCCATTATCATAACCGCTTATTCCATAATGGGGTTGTGGGGGGACTGGAGCCTATCCCAGTGGTCAATAGGCGAGAGGCGGGGTACACCCTGGACAGTCCACCAGTCCATCACAGGGCCTCAAGTTGTTTCTTGTCATCCGTATCTTGCCTGTTCCTTGCACAGCTGTTACGGAAAAGCGGAGGAATGCATTGGGCTCTGTCGGGCCCTGCTGGGAGTGGTGGACTGGCTGCTCCAAGGCTGTGCATGGTACTGTGAAAGACTGAGAGAACTGGGTCCATCAGCCAGCACAGAAGCCAGTCTCAGAGCCTGCCAGGAAAGGCTGCACTACTTGATGAATAGCGCCAAGAACAGAGCTCTAGTCCACATTGCCCGGCTGGAGGATCAAGGTGGATATTATTATTTATGTCTGATTTAAACTTATACGTATAGCATGTATTCATATTGTCAGATTTATATAAATGAATTAACCATTGGTTAAATTAGATGGATAAAGTGTATATATTCAATGACAAATTTGGAGATCAAGAGGTGTGATGGCCTCTATTTTGAACAAAACTCTCTTGGTTAAATCCTTAATGTTTGTGGTTGTATAACATGTTGTTCATGAGGTTCATGTGGCATCTCCGACTACAGGTTCTTGGGGCAGTGTAGAGCAGTCGGTGGTAAAGGTGACAGATGGCCTGGGCAGTGTATCTAACCAGGCTTTAAGGACTAAGCTGGAGGAAAGCTTGTCATATGTAAAAAGGTGAGTGTTCCTGAAAAGCACATCATCAAAGCTGTAAAGTCTCACATGACAGTTCTTAAAGTGATGGACAATACAGTTAATCTTCTCGTGGCTAAGTCTTAATTCTGTCCCCAGTATTCCCCTGATGCTCTTGGCACACTGTGATCCTCCAGTCCATGCCTCCTTCCCATCGATCCATGCTTTTATCATGCTGGAGGGAACCATGAACTTGACAGGAGAGACACAACCTTTGGTGGAGCAGCTAATGATGATCAAGAGAATGCAGGTGAACATTTACATTTTTTTATACATAACTAACCTGGAATCTTTCTTTTTTTGAGCATAAAAGTGCAATTTACATTTTTAAAATTTCAATCTTGTAGTATAAATCGGAAATAGTTGGACAATAGACATTCATTTAATCAAGAAAAGATGGACTGGATGCAGGACCCATGTGATTTAAAAGTCATCAGAAATGCTCTCATTAATAAGTGTGAACACAGCTAGATAGCTGGTACTGGTAGGCATCCTCCACTCTAATTCTGTCAAACGGCTGATGAAGTGTAACGCACCATTTTGTTTTGTGAGCGAAACCCTCAAACCATTTGTTCTCCTCAGCAAATTCCTGCCGCTCTTTTCGTGTTGGAGATATGGAAGGCTTGTTTCACTGGTCTCATAGAGTCACCAGAGGGCACAGAGGAGCTGAAATGGACTGCCTTCACCTTCCTCAAGGTAAACAAGACTCCAGTTTCCTGCTGTCCTCTTGTCTCAGTGTGTTTTGCATTTTTGACTCCAAGCTCCTCATGTACATTTTGCCTCTCCTGTCTGTTTTGTAAATATGGTATTTTAGCTCCCTGTCTTGGCAGCTATGATCCCTTTTGTGTTTGCCGTCAAATGACGCAAATTATAATGAGATATAGGCACCAGTAAACACTGCGTGTGTGTTTCATATTTATACAAAAGCAAAGCAAACAATAAATCCTCTCATTTATTTTGTCTCAGATCCCTCAAGTTCTTCTACGACTAAAGAAATACCCTCAAGCTGACAAAGGCCAGGTAAAACAATTCACCTGGTGACCTCTGCATAACAATTTACCAGATGTAGTTAAAAAAAAAACCCTCCAATCTGGATTAATAAATGTGTCAAACGTGCTCTACAGGATTTCATGGAGGACGTGAATGTTGCATTTCAATATTTACTAAAGCTGACCCCACTGTTGGACAAAGCAGACCAGAGATGCAAGTAAGTTCTGGAAGCACGTTTGTTTCTGTGTCTGTAAACCCCGCAGCCCTCACCAGAGATGACCTTTCTCTTCATTTTCCTGTCATTCTTTACATAGTTGTGACTGCCTCGGCATGCTCTTGCAAGAGTGTAACAAGCTCGGGCTGCTGTCGGACTCGAATACAGAAAGCCTCACATCAAAGCGGTATGGTTGTCTGTGTTATCAGAGGACACGCATGACGCAGAGCCCACCGGGCATGCTGGCCAGACGCCTGAGCAGCATGAGCCCTTTTCAGATGGCTTTTTAAAAAAAAATTTGGGTTGGAAATGAGAATTGGAATTTTAGACCATCATATTCATGCAGTACACTGCACCCCCTTCCCTCCTGTCCCGCCTCTCCTCTGCCTTTTCCCTCCTGTCCCTCTCCCCCATGCACATTTGATTCAGGACCGAGGACAGGGAGTTCGCCCCAAGGCTAAAGACTGCCGAAAATGCTAACATCCAGCCCAACCCAGGCCTCATCCTGAGAGCGGAGCCCACCGTCACCAATATTCTCAAGGTAGTGCACCAGGGCGTGATGTGAGAAGGCAGAATGACCATTACTTTGGAAACTGTCTCTTTTCAGAAGCAAACTGTTCCATTCTGAGAAGGCACAAAAGCAAAATGCCTGACGTTGCTGTACAGAAGTGGTTTTTCGCTAAGCAAAGCACTTCAATAAATTAACCTTTGCGTAAAGAGCTAATAAATGTAATACTTTAATCTCATTGCTTATCAGACAGTAGATGCAGACCACTCAAAGTCCCCTGAGGGACTTCTTGGCGTCCTTGGACACATGCTGTCAGGAAAGAGCCTGGACCTGCTCCTGGCTGCAGCAGCGGCAACCGGCAAACTCAAATCCTTTGCCAGGAAGTTCATAAAGTAAGTAAATGTAATCTGAATGTGCAAGTGCGAACAAGTGCTGTCCTCCGGCTTCAGAATTTTGGCATCAACAGTGGTAGATTGCAAAAGCTTTAGTTTTGCATGGATACATTTTTAAGGCAGTTTTTCAGCTGTTTTCCCTGTTCTTTTTTTTTTTTTTTTACTCCCCCAGACTCAACGAGTTTCCGAAGCACATCAGCGGCGAAGGATGTGAGTTGACTTAGGGGAGAAAAATACTCATACTTGAGGAATTTCAGCCTTCTTTGCCATACAGTTTGAAGTATCAACTTTGACCACTCTCCCCTTCTACCCCAGCAAAGTCTGCTTCCGTGCGGGCGCTGCTCTTCGACATTTCCTTCCTCATGCTCTGTCATGTGGTGCAGACCTACGGTTCCGAGGTACGTTCATACCAATTTAAAACTTGTCCTACAATTAAAAAAAGAAAAGAAAGATGTTTAAAAAGACACTTAAAAATCTACAGTAACATTCAAAGGTGTTGTTTTGGGGGGAAATGTCTGATGTTGGTGTTCATTGTCAGTTGAACACCACAAGCTGGCTGCAGAGGACTGTCCATAAGTGACCTTACAGTATCTGTTGTACTCCCCTCAGCTTGGTGAGTGACGTCCCATCTGTTTTCCACTTCCCCCTCCAGGTGATCTTGTCAGACCCCAGTCCTTCGGGGGAGACGCCCTTTTTTGAAACGTGGCTGCAAACTTGTATGCCCGAAGAGGGCAAAACTCTGAACCCTGACCACCCCTGCTTCCGACCTGAGCCTGGAAAGGTGGAGAGTCTTGTGACACTGCTGAACAACTCATCAGAGATGAAACTGGTGTAAGTTCATGGAAAATGTTGCTTGTTGATGCAACTTAACAAATGGACTGTCACCACTGAAATCCCAGAGCCACTTCAACTTCAAGAGTTACTAAGAATTAAAGTAGTACTCCTCCAGTGGAGGGTTGATTTGTTTTTTCATCCATTTCACTTTGAGCTGATTGTTTCATGTAAATCAGAGCAACCTGTGAGACCTTCTCTTTTAACAGCCAGGTGAAATGGCATGAAATTTGCCTCAGCATTCCAGCGGCCATACTGGAAGTTCTGAACGCGTGGGAGAATGGCGTGCTTTCTGTGGAGGCGGTACAGGTCTGTCGTCCTTTTAGTTTCCTTTTTTGTCCTTATTTCACCAGAAAACAACATTAAGCTGTTTCTCAAACCTCAGCCACTCATAAAACCGCCATTTTTTTACATTTTTTTCATTCATTATTTCCAGAGTGTGACGCACTCTGGAAAGTTATGAATGAAATCCTGTGAATGCAGTGGCATTCCACTGTGTCCACACACTTCTCATTTATTCTGTATTCTTTTCAAGAAGGATGCCTTTTTAGTCAGAGCCTCCTGTTTCCATTTTGCACAATCCTCTAACCGCATCTTTCCTTCCTCTTTTCTTGTAATGGCCATCTCTGGAAGAGTAGAAGATAACTGACAACATCAAGGGGAAGGTGTGTAGCATGGCCATATGTGCTGTAGCTTGGCTTGTTGCCCATGTCAGGATGCTGGGAAGGGATGAGAGAGAGAAGCCCCAAACTATGATCCGGCAGCTTGTAACCCCACTGTATGCCGAGAACACCCTGCAGTTCTACAACGAACGGTACAATTAAACTCATTAACCTCTGATCAGCCCTTCTGTATTTAACAGCCTCCTTCAAGCTTTCTTAATTTCTTGGATTTAAATGTGCCGTCCCCCTCCTTAAATGTGACCAGGGTGATCATCATGAGCTCCATCATGGAGCACATGTGTGCCGATGTCTTCCAACAAACGGGCGCAGCTCTGCGTTCCCCAGTTGAGGGCCAGGAGCCGATCCCCTACCGCAACCTGCTGCCTGCCAAAGAGCCCATCCACAAGGCCCTGAGCAACCAGTTCCAGGTGGTGCTGCGGAAAGGCTGGGTGGACAGCCGAGCTCTGCACCTGTTCGAGAGTCTGCTCAACATGGGAGGGGTCTTCTGGTTCACCAACAATTTGGTCAAGGTGAGAGGATGGAGTAAAGGTGAAGGACGCTGTGGTTAAAGGCAGCAGCTAACCTTTGACTACCTACTGAATCCATCTACAAAGTTGTGTTAGATCTCTTTCACCAGTTAAAAGAAATCTAAGCTGGTTAGTTTTGATGTGAAACCAAGAAAGACATCATTATCTTGGCCATCCAATCAGAATGACTGGGGAAAAAAAGATGGCTTACGTGCCTCTAATTAGGATTTACCTCGTAAACACAAAAAATTGAAGCATAAGAAATACGGATCAATCTGAACAGGTAGTAAATTGTTGATGGAGTCTGACTAAAGGTGAACTCTGTCATATTTCAGGAACTGCTGAAGGAGACGCGACAGGAGTGGGCCAATCGAGCTGTGGAGCTGCTCTACAGCATCTTCTGCTTGGACTCGCAGCAGATAACCCTGACCCTGCTGGGTACCATCCTGCCCAACCTGCTCACCGACTCAGCCCACTGGCGCAACCTCGCCGACCCTCCTGGGAAGGCCCTGGCAAAGTAAGACAAAGGAATAGAACGCGGGTGGCGGCAGTGGTAACGGGATTTAAAAACTTTTTTTTTTTTACAACTGGTCTCAACTCCTGGCTCCTTCAGGCTGTCGGTGTGGTGTGCTCTCAGCTCCTACTCCTCTCACCACAAAGGCCCCTTCTCAGCACGTCAGCGGAAAAGACAGAGAGAAGACATCGAGGTAAAACTGTTCGACAAGAATCACGAAAAGCCGAAAGGCCTGCGTATTTTATTTCTCTTTTTTTTTTAAAGTGATATAATTCCTTTACAAGGATTACAAGGCATGTATTACACACCGGTGTTTTTTCTTGTGTGTGCGTCATCGGCTACAGGACTATAACAGCCTCTTTCCACTGGATGACACACAGCCATCTAAACTTATGCGACTCCTGAGCTCCAATGAGGATGAGCCAGTAACCCTCTCCAGCCCAGGTCAGACCAATTATATTTTGGTGGATTTTTTTTAAATCTGATCTGGAGATTGCGCAAATTCCACTGAAATACAAACACATGATCACCAGCTACAGGTTTCTTCTTGTAAGCACTTTCTAAATCGAGTAGGGGTTAGCTTTGCTTAACATGCCCTTCTGCTTCTGCATGAATTCACCAGCGGGTGTCTTTTGACTGTCAACAGGTTCAAACTTGAGCCCTCCTGTGAAAAATTAAGTTTCCTTTTCAGCGGTTTACTTCTAAGAAGCAAAGAGACCCCAGAGCCTTGACAGTATCTTATTATTCTCACATAGTTTTTGTTTCACTCCATTCACATGACCAATTTAATGAGGCTTCAGAATATCTTTGGAAATTTTCACCTCTTTCAGTTTTGACTACAATTCTAGAGAGACATCCCCAAACATTATGTCATAAGACCAGTCTGTGGACAAAAATATCTGCTTGTCTTGCAGTGAAAGGAAGACGGTCACACTGGAAGTGATTGCGTTTCTTCTTTTGTTGTCTATCAAAACCCAAATGGGAATTCATTTTGAAACAACTGGCCAAGATAACCACTAAAACTGCTTGTGGTTAAAGTGAACATCTTGTGAGAAGGACAGATTCTGGTCCCAGACTTTGCTGATGATTCATGTCACAGGACAAACACACAAAAAAAAAAGAAATAGGCAAAAGAGTTTATTATTGACTTGTGTATCCAGAGCCGATTTTGCCCATGTTTGGATTAATCTCTCAAATAACATTAACAGTTATTTGAAAGAAGGACGGGCCTCCCTAACTTGTGCAAGTCTGCAGTCTTTTATTCTTCAGATCAGCACTGGGCTCCTTGGACTTAGTCTTTGTTCTGTGTGCCAACCGACAAAGAATAATCCACTCCTTTTTGTTGTAGTTGTCACAGGCAACCGGCCGTTGTCAGGAGCGATCGCTGACAAGACACCGAGAGGCCGCAGCACGCACAACACATTTGCCCATTTAGTTTGTGTGGCTATCATTTAGGTGAATAGTTGCTTTGATGAAATCCAAAAGAATTTTACCAAGGCTTGCAGTTGAATCAGTCGTTCTGCCGCACACAAAATGAAGATGAATGAAACTCAGAAGTCATTGAGGTCCAAACATTACAATGGCATCAATTTCGGAATCTTAATATTCAAACCAATACCAAAAGTGAAATGTGTCTCACGCTTGCTTTAAAGAACCAAGTATTGTGTAAAAAATTGGTGAAAGGAATAGAGACGCCTGAAGGAACAACTTCACACAGGGTTTCTTTATTTAATTTATTTTATTTTGTGCATGCTTTCGTCTTTCTCCACAGTGACTTAGAACATCAATCAAAACATTTGAGTTAAGTAATCAGCGGTTTTCCGTCTGCTGTGTTTCCTCACAGGAGACAGATCTATGAGCAGTTCCCTGTCTGCCTCCCAGCTCCACACCGTCAACATGAGAGACCCTCTGAACCGAGTCCTGGGTGAGATTTTTTTATCAGCCGTTTGTTTACGTTTTTTTTTTCTTTTTCCAGCAGTAAAAAAAAAGCAACGTCTGTCAACACCTTTTCATGATTGAATATGCCCCAACTGAGGAAGGAAAGAAAGAAAGAAACATCCGGACCAAATAAAAACCAAACAACCATTAATGAGGAGCAAGAGAGGCTAATTAACTGAAGTGCCTCTCATTTATATTGCCCTAACAGATCCCAAAAGACCAGTGAAAGCTCTAGTGCTCATACACCTTTGTTTGATGGCATTCTGTAAATGGATGTCTTTTGGATGACTGGTTTTACTACCTTGTTTATTTTCTCCAGCAGAACTCTGCAGACTTCAGGAGTCTGTGCCAATAAGGGCTGAATGCGTTTGGCTGGTCGTGTAAGGCCAACAGCATTCCGAGTTTCTTTTCATGCAGATCGGATTTTCCTCAGTTCGTTCCCCCGGAGAAGGTCGGATTAACGCGACAGGGAGGCAGTTATTGCAGTCAAAGATTAATTTTTTTCCAATCCACAACAATGCCCTGTCTGTGTCTACAGCAGGAAAATAAGGTCTTGATTAACTTGGAATTAAATGTGGGATAATTTGGATTAGAAAGCCTGAAACCTGCAGAAGCTGCAGTTGCGTCACAAGCGTTGCATATTATGATACTCTGTATGGGACAGAAGCTTTGGTAACTATTTGATACATATGCATTGGTAATATCGAGAAATAATATGAATGAATCGGAACTAGTGTGCCAGCTAGCTCTTGAAAATGATAAATGCCAACCATGCATTCTGTTATCTTCTTCACAGCCAACCTGTTCCTCCTTATTTCCTCCATCTTGGGCTCCAAGATGGCTGGACCCCACACCCAATTCGTGCAAAGTTTCATGGAGGAGTGCGTCGAGTGCCTGGAGCAGGGAAGCCGTGGGAGCATCTTACAATTCATGCCTTTCACAATGGTGAGTTATGATCAGGGGGGAGAGGAGGCATGGGAGGACAGGGGAGGCTGGGTGGGAAGGAAGGGGAGTGACTGTTGCATCAGAATTTTTTGGAATGCTTTATCTGAACAGTTATCGCTCGTTCTGCCTTCCAGAAATATAGACTTTTATAGACAAACTTTTTGATGAAGAGGGAGGTATCAGAGACTGGAAATGACTCTAAATTGTGCATATTTGAAGAAAAAAAGGCTTTGGGATGTTTGAATTTGTAGTTCATAAGTGCATTCCCCTCTGGTCACCTTATGACTCATGGATTATCTTTAACTTGTAACACTAGTGTTTCGAGATACTTTCGGGGAAATGTGGAACAGAAAATTGTTGATGTATCTTATCGTCAGTAAGTTCGGAAAAAAAAAAAAAAACGCAGTCAAAAGAACTAAAGCTACACGGTAACAATTGGATTCCTTCTCCAGTCAAGCACTGTCTAAAAATAATGCTTGTTTTTTTATTTGTCCGTTTCAGATTTCAGAGCTGGTGAAGCTGCCGGCCCTTGCCAAACCTAAGGTTGTCCTCGCCATCGCGGACCTGACTCTGCCGCTGGGGAGGAGAGTTGCCGCTAAAGCCATCTCTGCTCTGTGAACCCCACAGCTCAGTTTGCTTCAGCCACAAGCTGCCACATTTTTAACACATTCAAAACATTTTGAAGCTCTAAATATCTGGATGGGACCACTGGTTGTATATCCCTTTTCTGAGGTTCCTTCCTTTGATCTTCCTCTCTCCAAACACCTTTATCCATTTTTTTAGATGTTCTTTTTCTCACTTCAAAAATTGTGTAAATGTGATTTGTGAATAAAAGGATCCAATAATGAAGGTCCTCTATTTTTCTTTCTTTGTGATCATGAATGTATCCACAAGGTTTAAACATCTGACCTCTGTAATCAGAAGATCACATGCTGTCGGAGCCACCGCATGACGGGACGCAGGAGGAAATCATCCTGTGTGACGCCGGGGGTGTCACACAATTGCAACACGCGCTGCAGGAAATCTGTGTGGTCAGGCGTCCGAACCTGTGACATCAAAATCTCTTTCACTTTTCATTACGCTTCTCTTTTATATGTTTTTCTTTGCTTCCCTGGATGCATTCAATGAGGCAGCGTTTGTTTACTGCTTGTTTTGCTACGTATCGGTCACAAAAGAAGAAACCGTCTCTCAGGAATTTCCGTTTGATATATTTTTATTCAGTGTTACGTCATACAAACATGTGCAGATCATGAAAATATGACTGTACAGGGTATTTTATTAGTTCTTAAGGTGCCTTCAGCTTATCACAATGCAAGCCTGCGTTCAATGCAAAACTGTCAAATATAAGCTCCCAAAATAAATACTTTGTGTTACAGTTGCATAAATAGCCTAAATATATAAATAGAAATAAATAAAAAATAAATAATCTTTTAACAAATAAGAAAAAACACCATAGTAAAAAATGGCAACATATAGGGCATGTTTCAGACAGAGCTAAAACGGGAATAGGACCTATAGGGGTCAGATCTCTGTGTCCTCTTCGCTGCCCTGGTCCAGACTTCCCAGACAGCGCATCATGTCCCGGCCGAAGGACTGGAGCTGGACCAGGGTCATGTGGACGGCCACCTGGACCTCGTAGTTCCCAGGCAGACGCAGGTCCAGCGGGTCCGGAGCCTGCTGCACCTCAGCCTCTGGCTGGAGCATTTTCTGCATCTGCAAAGTACAGAGAACCACGTTAAAAACGCCACCCTCCTCCAGATGCTGTCTTTTTTTTCCCCCAACAGATGCAGAGATTTAAAGGGATTCCTACCTTGACGATCTGAATCGCCAGATCTCGGATGTCTGCCATTAAACTCGCCACTTTATCTGCTCTTTCCAGCCGGGGGGAGACGCGGAGCAGCAGGCTCCTGTGCAGATGCAGACCCTCGCTCATCCGCTCCAAACTGCTCTCCTGATAAGGACGAAGCAAGGGAAAACGTCACGCCTGTCCCGTCGGATTCCTCCACATCCCATTCGCCTATAATCTGCTCCCCTCTTTTGCTTACCAGGGTGAAGTTTTCGGACACGGCTTTGAGAACCGGCGCAGGAGGGATGCCGATGATGGACGCCATGGTTACGAGCTTCGCGTTTTCAGAGGAGTTGAGCTTTAGAGTCTGTGGCAAACAGATAACACGTTTGGGCTGAATGTCGATACGCCGATAACACTTTTTCGTGCAGACAGAATCGACTGCACGGTTGTCTGCCACACAACCTCTGCCAACAAGTGGCACATGACAACAGGGCACAGGGCCTACCCTTCAGAGGTCTAAAGTAAGCGGTGTGGGGGCCCCACTGACCCTTCGGAGCCACGCGCGCAAATCACTGACGTGACGCAGCAGCGCCAGATTGCGCCAAATCCTGGCGCAACCCCCCCCCTGACCCTTCCCTACCCTCCCTCACAGCGTGTGCAACTTCTCTCACCTCTGTCTGGACGCAGGACCGGTGCGTGTCCGGTATGGAGAGCAGCATTTTTTGGGTCAGGCTGTGGACTCTTTGCAGCAGCTCCTGAAATTTGGGCTCCTCAACAAGTGCGCTGGCCCCCGGCAGAGGTGCGCCGCGCACGACGGCGGCGGCCATGGAGCAGGCGAGCACTGCGGGAGAAAGGACGAAGAGGGGGGGGGGGGGGGGGTCAAAACGGTCCCCTTCAGCCGCTCCAAGAGGTCTGTGCGCGCGGGGGGAGCATGGACGCGCGTCTGTGTGTGGAGGACAACAGGCAGAACAAAGCGTGGCTCTCTCCTCAGCAGCCCGCCCCAGTGCGCAGCAGAACTGGGTACGTCCCCCCACCCCTTACCCCCACCCCCTCCCCTCGGGGTTCGTACATCGACTGAAGCTGCATAAGTTGAGAATAGTCACTGTAACGTGAAGCCCAGGCCAAAAGTAACCGCAGCGGCTTTTATTTAACACACGTGAGCAGATTTAAATCAGGCCCATTTGCTTTAATCCATTTCCAAAAACTGCGGTAAAACGAAGCCCTCTGAAATAGCAGTCTGTATTGATTGGAAATCCAAAAGTTACTGATCCTAAACTGGCCCTGTGAGCTGACATGTGTCTGTGGGCTATCAGCCTCAGATGAGACAGCAGCATTTTACAAGCATTACTTCACTACTCACCAATCAGGGCATGCATGGCCTCAGTGGGAAATGTAAAAGTATTGACTTCAAGGGAGTACCACTACTGATTTATATATATATGTGCGGCCCTTTGAGGGATTTCCCACTTAAGTAATCTTACGCTGACACAAATTTTCCTTGTAACCAAAATATTACACACAGTCTACAAGCAGGACATGACACTCACATCCGCACTCAAAAGCAATCTCCTGAATCCTCATTTTAATGGTGATTCATGCTGATTGGCACCATTTGGCATGCACAAATGTAGGTGAAATGCATAATTTACAAACTCCAAACAGAAAGGCCAACAGTGGAGAACTAAACCAGCATTCTTCTTGGTGGGAGGCGACATTGTTCACACCAAGCCCCTTTTATTTGCATCTCAGCAAGGGAACTTGAATTGGCCGTCATGAATAAACTTTATGTACCTGTTCATAAAACTGCTGTGTATTGATTAAATACTATTGGTTCCCTAACTTCTAAATAAAGTTTTACTTAAGTGTTAGGGTTAGGCTGTGTCTGCTAAAAATAAGTGAACACGTGGAGCTAACAGCAGCATTAAAGCAAAAAGGAAGAATTGAAAGTGGTCACAAGTCAAGAGTCCAGACGAGTGTAATTTCAGTTTTCATTCACAAGGTGAAAATTCCTTCCTTGTGTTTGTATTTTCTGTAGTGATGCAACACAAATAGAATGCTTTTAATAAGTGGAGGCAGTTGCGTAACATAAAGGAAATTCAGAAATTTTTTTAGAAGAGGCATTTCCTCTGAAATTGAAACCAAAGCCGCATAATCCCTTTAAGTCACACTGCTTACTGAAATCATTATTTTTTCCTTTTGCTGGTTGTGTGATTGCATTGCAAATATTTTTGGCCTCTGGGCGTCCCATGTGGAGAATTGTTTGTAGCTTTTTATGTGCTGTGAATTGTATGAAAAAGCTGACATCGCCCACGCACATATATATGAGTGACATGTTTATGGTCTATGTGAGATTACACCTGTTCCAGAGGTATGTACACTCAGCTGCTTAGTCAGCCAAAAATGTTGGCATTTACAGCATGAATCTTGACAAAAGGGAAGCTGAGTAATAAGATTTATCGCACTTGAAGCATAATATGTAAGAGAGTGAAAAAGTGCCCTCTGGTGGAAACCTTACTCCACATTTAAAGCTCAAATTCCCCTCAGACCTCTAAAACTCTAGTGTAACTACTTAATTTGGTGTGTCATTTACTCTTAGAGCGCAAAATTTTATTTTGCTATCATTTTCGTCCGAGTTTAATGAGATCTTTCTAGCAGCTCCTCACAAGCTGCCTGATTATGAAAGAACGCCATAGTTGTTTAACCAACACAAAAAACATTCAGAGTAAAATGATGGAAGCCCACAAATTAAGGGATGAAGAAGCATACGCAGTTTTACAAGACACCATTCCCATCAGTTCCTAATATTTTTAGGAAAGAAATGATTCGTATTTTCAGAGAATCTGGGAATGTACCTTGAAAATGAACATGTGCAATACCCTCCTAATTCAGTCTATGTATGAACAGGATCAGTTTGTTCTCCCTTCTTAATCTCTTATTTTAATCAGGCTGTGTAGTTCTTTTTTGTAACAGTCTGAAGAGAAATATCTGATCTTTGAAGTCTGAAGCAATCCTCAGTGTGAGAGGACAACATCAGTGCAGGTCTTTCCACTAGTTCTTTTGGCCACTTTAAGTGCTTTTCAGGACCAGCCACGCTCACCTATCTGCTCTCACTCTCTCTCTGATAAACACCAGCATACATGGATGCATTACTTTTGATTCCACTCAGTCAGAGCATTTTTCAAACACCCACACACAATGACTGCGGAGCTCTTTTCCCTACGACCCACTTAGAAACACTATTTGGTTGGAGCGATGTAACAAGTCTGCCTTTGGCATTTGATGCATGGGAGCGATTTACAAAGGCCCGTCCTGCCCGTTTAACCTTTGAACCGCTGGCCTTCCTCGCTGTATAACTCAATGCCACTGGTGTACCTACCGTTGTATTCTGTAGAGAGACCTTCTACTGCGTGCTTTTCATCACATTTCATCACGGCGAAATATGCCTGCAGTCTTTAACTGGCAATTTAACATGGAGCCCAGAACAGGTTAACAAAGCCTGTGACTTCAACAGGTTTTTAATCGGTGGATCTGTGGGTCAATCAGGAGGGATAATGAAGACTAATGGGGGGCTGTGGGAAAAAAAAGAAAGAGTGTCTGCGCTGAAAGAAGATAGTAGTTTATTTCAAACCTCATTTTGAAATGTAGATATGAAATGTTCTCCAGCTCTAAAATGAACACATTGCTTATTTGTGATCCTTTCTCATGTGTCACAAATCACTGATAGTGTTGCAGGAACATTAGTGTCCATGTGAGAACTCGAACCCTTTTATTGCACTGTCCTCTGCCTAAGCGTTGCATTTTTACCTTGATACGTTTTTTTTCCCCCTCCATATGTATCCCTGAAAGTAACCATTCAGAAATGTTTCCTATTTAAAAGGTACTTTTCCAACATTTTTCGATTTTGGATAATTTGTGATCAATTCCATCACCATTGTTGGCCTCAATCCAAATATTAAAAATGTAGTTTATACTAGATGGCTGATTTGATCCATCTGGCAGAACACATATGTCTTTTCAGTAACTGATTCTGGCTTTTGATTCTTCATACCAACAGTTCTGCGTGTTGGAAAATGATTAAATCATCCACCTGGACCAGATAATGCTTGTGGAATTTGGGTAGTTTGAGATAAACTGCTTTTCCTCAGATCATGATTTTGCAACAGGGGCGTCTGTTGCAGAGGAAATTATTTCACTGACTCAAGGGCAAATAAATGACGACATTGTTGCTCATATGAATCTGGAGTTGGTCACACAATGCTGTCATCAGCTAGTTTTATACACCGCCCATCCCACGTCTTTATGATGCTATTTTAAACACGTGAAAACTGAATAAGTCTTTCTTTTGGTGTTATCTTTCAATTGAATGCCCATATATGAGCATGTTTTGTCTATTTCTTCGGCTTTTCTTCTTTTAAACATACAATAACTCAAGAGTTGTACAGCATGTCCGGCTTTCTAACCAGAGATGAATAACTGTGGTCGACATTTTCTCTGGAGGTTTTGCGTTAAGCACTTTAAGATTATTGACCAATACCATCAATTTCTACTATCAATCAATACTATCAATTTCTTTATTACTTTAGCATTTTACCACATCCTGGGACCCTGTATCAATTAGATTTTCTTTAGTGATAAAGGAAGTTGATCAGTGATCTTTACTCACTGCGAATTAATATTGAAAATATTCCAATGTGGGAATAGTTGGTTTAATAGAAGATTAGAAAAAGGGACAGGGCTAGATACCACAAGAGTTTTCTCCTATTTGAGGATATGAGTTTTGTTAGTTTCTTATGCAAACGTGTCTTAATCATCCTAACAAAAATGTAGAGGGACATATCTACTCTCACTTTCCTCAGAGTTTTCTTCCTTGTACCACTGGGGGAGCTACATGACAAAAAAAAGGAAACCCATCTTGAACCTACACTTTTTCCACTTGCCTGAATGGCAGGTTAACAAAGGGTGTGCATTTCTTTCTTCTTTTTTTTTTACACCACTGTGGGCAAAGCTTGTTTGCCACTCTACACAGATCCAGCACGTGTGTCACTTACCATTTTACCTTAAAAAGGCCCTCGGAGCCCGGAGACATTTTCACCTGCAACCCAACCCCAAACTGGGCTGTGCTCTGAGCGATTGGATGTGTTACCTTATCCCCCAATTTGTGTCCCCTTACCTTGCAGTTGTAATGCTCACACCAGTGTAACGTGTCCAAGGCAGCAGGCAGGGAAAACCGAGCCGGCCTGAAATTTAAATTAACCTCAGCAACATTTATGTATGCATGGGAACAAAGGTGTTGTATTACCATCACCCTCACTCCCGCCATGCACACACACCTGTCGTACATAATGCTGAACAAAAGAATGAACACATTGCATCAGCTGAAAGAAATACCGACACACGTGCCTGCTACTAGTTTTAGGGTTATCTCTTCTGGTGAAGGTTCCTTAACAGTGGCTGGTCTCAAAGCCACCATGGGAATCTGTTATCTGAGGAAATGAAAGACAGGAGGAGAGAGCTGTGTGTGGCAGGAAATGTCAGAGAGAGAGGCTTACCATCTATTTTTTAGTACTGTTGAACCACCTGTTCATCACAGGAGGCTGTCCTTGAGCTTCCTTAAGATCAGTGTCCTTGTTTTCTCTAAAACAAACTCGAGAAAACCATAGCGTTTGAGGATTGTGAGCAGGAATAGTTCAAAATATATATACGTAGAACTGAAATCATTAGCATGTGGTCTTTTATTACACCTTCTTAAATACATATTTCCATCATACAGTTTTTTTAGAACTACTGAATCAAAACTACTTTAAGGTTTGTGTGGTGGTAATAGTAAACAGATATTTTAGTTGAGCATATTGGTTGGAAATAAAGGGGAAACAGCTGGTAGCCTATTAGTTCAGCTCAATATTTAGAGTATGGGAACATACCGGTGGGTTTACATAATCTTTACTGATTAAATTTCTGATATCTGTTATCAAAGCCAAGCACTTATCTGGCACTTGATTCAAATTTTGGTAATTGCACTTTGATTTATGTTCAGAAAAAAAAGTGAGCAATTGCAGCCCCATTTATATTTTCATGAGGGTAGTATTAATCTTCATATTAACTTCTCAGGAAGAATGTGAAAGTGCATTTCCTTAATTACCTCTCAGTTCCTTTAGACAAAATGCTCCCAGTGGGAAAAATTGGTACAGGACTTATCTAGAGGTACTGGCATTGAGAAAAATAGGAAAAATAATATGTTAGGGTTAAGATTAGGGTAATTAATTTTCCATACCACTTTCATCACGTCAGGGTACAAAACAAAGGAGACTAACCAGAGTTGTCTCTGTTATGCTAGAATTGAGATAAAAACAGTGAAATAGTGAAATGATGTACCTATCACACATACACACAATATTTTTTTCTTTTCCTGAACCTAACCAAGTTTCCCTAATAGTAAAAAAAAAAACACACAAAAAAAAAACATAAGGAAAAGACAGTTAAGAACAATACAACAATATGCATCTCTATTTAAGAATAAATAGAGATATATGCCCAACATGTTTTCCCGGCTACAGCAGACCCGATTCAGATAAATGGGATGGAGCGTCACCTCTTTAGGGTCTACAGAAGACTGATAGAGGCCCATTTATTTGAATCGGGTGTGCGGGAGCAGGGAAAACTGGAACACATGCATGGCTGTGTGCCTTGAGGACTCAGGAGACGGGAAACACAGCGAGAGGGGACAAAAACCTGTCTCGAGGGCTCCAATATTCTGCCGACGACTTCTAGCACAATCCCCATGTATTTTTAGAACTTTTCCGTTTTGTAAAAAAAAAAAGAAAAAGAAAAGTTAAATTTCCCCATCGTGAACACACACAGAGGGGAAACTTGCTATCTTGATCCCACACTATCACCATCAATCTACCCACTTTATATTTTATTGAATGGTTTATAATGACACACAAGAATGTACCCACGAACAATGACAAGTAATTGAAATGGCATGCTAATAATACATAATTCCATGATATCCTCATAATACAAAAAGGCACTCTGAGGATAAGCTGGCACTGACAGAGAGTCCACTTTGTTCCCTATGGGCCCTCCATGGGCAGCCCAAGGGCATTTGGAAAGTGCTTTACCCAAGGAAGTGTGAGTCAGGCAACAGAGAGGGGGCACATGATCCCCCGAGGCATTCTCCCTTAATTTCTCCTTAAGAACTAGGTCACACAAGACGATGGGTGCCGACCCGGACTTTCTGCACAAGTGTCTTTTATGAACATCATGAATAACTTATCGGTCTTGCTCTGCTCTGGAGGCATTAGTGTGTCCGACACAGGGAAGCCCTTGTTGACAAACCCTTTCCCACATTTCAGACATCAACTTTCATTATTCACCAGAGCATTGGTGTTTCCTATGGGAGAGGCAAGATATGGATTAAGTTATGCCTCCACTCTAATGCACTCCCCCTTTTGATTCATTATTAGAATTTCAAATGCATACAGCTCTTTGCCATATGCTTTGGTGAAATGGAAGAATCACATCTGTGGCTGCTTTTTGAAAAGTCCTACATTTTATGGCCTCCTAGATTCAATTCAGCAAACTCGAGGGAGTGACCGCTTGAGTGTAGTTCACAGAGACGACCTGGGCGATTATTCTAGATAAGAGGAGGCATGACAAACAGTCCAGAGACAGGCTCAGTATTGATAGCTAGCTTTACGGTTGCAAAGGTTCCCCGTTCCCGTTAATACTGTAGCTGAAAAGGTGAGAGTAAGAAATTATTATTGAAAAGGCTCTCCGATGGAATACTGCTTTTTAAAATCTGCTCCTAAAAGACACTGCCATGCCTGGGTTCTGTGTTTATCCTCTTCTACTTCATCACATGACATTCAGTAGTTTAGATTTATTTGCCTCTCAGACCAACCTTTTCCTGACATCTGAATAAGGTAGACATGTTATGTAGTGTAATTGTCTTGTATCATGTCTGAATTTTCATTTGCAAATTATATTATCTGGATACCATCAAAAACTTGAACATTTCTCATTATCAGTTTGGTAAGTGAAATATGCAGATCCATTGACCAACGAAAATATTACCTCTTACACAAACCTCCAACATTCTATGCATTAAAAAAAACTCCATTTGCAGTTATATATAACATGAACAATCAGGTAACAAATTCTGCTAATAACAATGTTCACTTATATAGTATATATAAAATTCTATTCCATTTGTGGTTTGTGCTGTTGATTGCATCAAAGATGAATAAGGTATTGGGTATTGGCTGTGTTCAAGTTGGTACCCGACATTGAAAAACAAACAACAAAGAAAAACGTGTGTGTGTATACAGATATATATGTCTTTTTTTCCTCCAAAATCACAGAAAAACTGATGCATCAGATGAGTTTGAATAGCAATTCTGACTGTATTGGTAATTTTATCTGTGAGTTAATAATAAGAAAACCCCCAAAACAAGAATGTAAATGAAAAACATGATTTTAATTGTATCACATGTGTTTATACCATAAGGACTGCAATGGAAACTACTTGTACATGGAGTTTGTCGTTCTTGTGTTGCCTGATCCCGCTGTTCATGTTACTGTTGGACGCTTCTTCCTGAACAGTGAGGAAAGCACATCAAATGTGCATGCACCACTGAATAAATCCCATTTGTATCCTGTTTTTGGAGTTCCCCAAAAAAACATGCCATTGCTTTTACTCCCTGTGCACACGGACAAGGCCATCAACTCGGCCAACAAAAAAAAAAGTCCTAATGGTCTGCTGAAAGATGAATTATTCATCTTGGCTAGGTTGCAATAGCAAATTTATTTTGCAGGCACGTTTTATTTCCCAACTTGGCTCTGTAACAGCTGGACAAAACTCAGAGTGACTATGACTGTTGGTACAAGTTATACCCCAATCCTGTTCATTGTGACCTTCCATTTAGGTTACTTCACGTAGTCCTATACCACAGTACTAATGGTGGAAGACTCCTCGGACTTGCCCTGCCTGCTGGGCAATGACTTGAGGTACTCCAGGTGCCTGCGGGCATCCTCCTGATTAGCCCTGACATAGTAGACTAGGTAGGAGATGACCATGGTGAACCACCCAAACATAACAACCAGCATGGCCACATCTGTAGTCCTCTTCATCACCACACATAGGTCTATGTCTTGTTCCAATAGAAAGGCAAGTCCTTGAACACCTATATTCTCAGGATCAGAGGTCTGGCACACAATACCTTTCAGTGATGCTGGGTCCAGGTCCACTCGGGGCAAAGCCATCTGCAAATTGCAGTCACAACGCCATGGATTGTTTGTTAGATTGGCGCGGGCTCGCAGGCCCTCAAAAGCATCGGGGTTAAAATGAACCAGTTTGTTAGAAGACAGATCCAGGAACTGTAACGAGGGACCAAGGCCTCTGAATGCGCCAGCTTCTAGCTGGCTCAAATCATTGTGAGATAGGTCCAGTTCAACCAGTTGGGTTAAGCCGGCAAACGCATTTGCCGGTACTGTGGTGAAGAGGTTGAAGTCCAGGTAGACATGTTGCGTGTCGTTGGGGAGGTCCTGGGGGATCTCCGTCAGCTGCAGATTGCTGCAGCGCACCGTCTTGCCGCCGCCCTCACTCTCCGAGCAGTAGCACCTCTTGGAACAAGTGGTGGCAGCGTGATGGAAGCAGAAGGTCATTAAAACCAAACTGTGCAGTAGCAAGCACATGACCACCGAGTGGCGCAGCAGCCAGTCTGCAAGCAGGGGCATCGTGGGATATGGGCATGCTCCAGGAAGTACCACCCGGGCAGAGGGCTGAATTCCACATCAACCACCCACACAACTGTTGCACCTATAGCATAAAAGCAACAGAGAGTTTCAAAGATCATGTTTTGACAAAGAAAAGAGTAGATGAAAAGATTAAATGTTTTTCAACTGAAAACACAGGCAATTACTGGGCACCTTCAGAGGCAGTAGTGCAATTCATGGGAGGTGCCGCTTGTTGAGTTGCAATGAGGAAGCAGCAGGAAAGCTCAATGCTCATTTAAGCATGTTGGTGGTCAGGAAACAAAACCGCTTTGTTGTGTTTCCAATAAAAACCCTAGAGTCAGACATTTCCTTCGACTCAGCACATTAGGCAGGCTAAGAAAATACTTTGGTGTCACTGTGCCTCTTTTATAATTGACATCCCTGCAGTGAAGGGCTATTTCAGTACCCAGACACTGGCATTAACATGGTGATGTGATACCATGTGGAACAAAATGTTCCGAGCAAAACTTGGCTTAAATCTGATTTCATTTGCACCAAAGTTTACATTTTTCCACTTTAGCTTTCATTCAAATCTCCCATCTTGGTATCAGTTTATCTAGTTAGTGCTTCATGCGGTAATTTAGTCAGAAGTGCAAGTAACACAGGGCTTATCCGTCTGTCCGGTAAATTACACTTTATATTTTGTAGCTCGGCTATTGAAAATAACGGCTGAACCCACCCTAACACACTTCATTAATAGCTGATCAGAGCTACCACCTATCAGGTTACTAATCCGCTTAAGAAAAAAACTCCCTCAGTCAGTCTACTATTAGCGCGGGCCACCCAATCCTTTTGTCGAGGTAAATGCTAACAATCTAAACAGTGGCCAGGCCAACAAAACCCACAATGTGACAGCTGGTCATGTTTGAGACAACACAAGGGGTACAATTTAACCACATTCCGTATTCTTACAAATTGGTAGGGATTGACAAGATTCCCTTAACAAAATATCAAATAACAGCTCAGGGAAGGGGGGGGAGCCTTTAGACTGTTTTTGTGTCTCTCATACTAGTATCGTCGCAGTATCATCAAGGCCGAGTAAAACGTCTTTACAAAAAAAATCCGTTCTGAACACCCAGCTGTAACTAAGTGCAATATTAAAGGCAGAATGGTCTGAACATCCAAGCAAGAACAAGGTCTTGCATGGTTAACGCTGTGTGCCAGAGAAGGCTATAGTTTTCCCATCACACTGAATGCCAGCCTCTTATTTTTACTGAGAGATAATGGGAGAGCAGAGGAGGACGGATGGCGATTAATGAGGAGAAAGCATTTGGGCAAGAAGTGAAATTAGACACATGAGCAGAGGGCTGGGAGGGAAAGAACGATATCATGGAGATTTAAACAGAGGGGTAACATTACAATGACACAGGGAACATCGCATGACACCGAGGAGATATTGAGGAAAGGGACAAATGTTAGTGAGGAAACTAAAGAAGACAGGTGGAAGGAAAAAGTGAGCAGGAGAGCAATGGAGTAAGTCTCCTGTGGATGAGATGAACACCCAAGAGATAGAGTAAACCTGAGGAGGAGCAGGGTGGGGCACCAGTAAAAAAAAAACACACAAACATAATAAAGAAGTGATTTTACAAATCGCCTCAACCCTCGCCTCATGCAGCCATAAACGGGGAATGCAATAAGACAAATTGTGGCTCTGTCTGTATTAATAAATTCATGGGCTTTTCCTATCATGAACAGCCACCCCTGGTTTTAATTTACACAACAAATGCAGCACTCTGGCATAAATACAGCCTCTTTCAGCCACAGGTCAGACTCTCACTTCATAAATTTACTGCTGTCAGGGCTGCCCTGACAAGACCCTGGCACCAGTCGGATGAGGAGCAATAATATGGACCCAGACATCAGGGGCACTGACGTGTGTGAATTTATGATGTTAATATCTCGCGTGATGCAGTGCTTTCCTTTAGTATGGATCTGACCTCTTTACGGGACCCTTTCACAGCCATAGAAATTGCCTGAGAGTGACATAAGCTGCGGGTTTCTAATGGAGTAATCAAACAGGAACGTGGGTGACAGTAAGAGGAAAGAGGAAAACTAATGCATCCTCTTCAAATTCAAACTACGGCTGTAATGACATCTCCCCTCTTTAGGGTGTATCTACTTATGGGCATATGTTTTTTTTCTTCTTTATAAGATCAACTCTTCCAGTGAGACCATGAGAACAGACATAGTACACACTGTCTTTTGTGTGCTCTGCTCTTTTACTGTGTGCTCTGGCGCTGATATAACAATATTCACATCCTTAGCATAAAGTTTAACACTTCTTTAAGATACTTACAATCTGTACAAAAACCAACAACGAATGCGTTGCCAGTCAACGTGCAAAAGTACTGGTGAAACGCAATATAGCCTATCTATACACAAATACAGAAATATATCCCCCCAGGAAAACCAGCTTGAAAAATAAATCTAAACGGAAATGACAGCCCGTGGTTATTGATACCCTTGTTGAGTCTCCTTTTGATCTATATTAGTCAACACTTGTTCACCCCCCCCCCTCCACCCCACCCCACCCCCCAACTAAATTTTAAAATGCCAATAGCCAAACTAAGCAATGCGGCTCTCTGACGTGCTGATCACGATATAAATTCCCAACATCCCGCATAACGAGTTGATCAAATATCGCATACACTCACGCCTCTCCCGTTGCTCCTCTTCCTCCCATGGTGCGTTTCCGAACAAGTCTCCCAACAGAATGTCGTCCACCACCGGATCGATGCGCTCCTCCGGCCGCGGCTCGCTCTCTCGCTGTTATTGGTCCGTTTCCCGTCAGGTCCTCCGCTCCAGCGGTGACCACGACGCGCCAGAGGGAAACGCGCCCGATCTGCGCCTCAGGGTTCGTGTGCGAGCAGCATTTTTAGTTTCCACGCAACCAGCAAACTAGGCGACATTGCCCGAGCCAGTTGGAGCTGGCACGCGCGGCAACGCGAGGGGCTAGACCGACTCTGTGGCATGAGTGGGGCCAAAAACATCCACACACAAAAAAAAAAAAAATGAACAGAGGACTTATATGAAAGCGCAGACAAGTTTGATAGGCGCAGGACTCGCGGTGTATTTACGCACAGGGGGAAGACCGTGAAGGGGGCACATCCGGGGGCTCCCCGGAGTAGCTGAGCGCATATTTGGCTGCCTTTCTGCATTGTTTGGAAAGGTCTAACTTAACGCACTCACATTCCTCTGCTGATTGCCATGCGTGAAGTGATTCTGACGTGCATCATGCATCAGGTGCCACTAAAACCGGCCCTCCTCCCACTCTGCAAAACACACAAAAATGATCTCATGCTGTGCGATGCTCACACATGGCGCGGCCGGGCTGGCAGCCCGCACTAATCACGCCTGATCTGAAAGCTTGTTGTTCCAAACATGCAGCACGCCTGCCAGACGGTGGATCTTTGGCCATCTCTTTCCCTGCCTGCTGCCAGCCGATAAGGAATCCCGATCAGATCCACTATGAAAGCAGACTTGGACAGGAGAGTCAGCCAAGCTACTATATCTATGGTCTTAGAAGAATTCAAATCAATAAACTAGGTGCCACTCTTAGAAACATTTATGAGGATCTTACGATGAATACTCTGAAATGTCATGTTTTCTTAATCTTGAATTTGAGTTCTGGTGTGTATTTTATTGAAGATCTAAGTTGCAAACACTATATATATACAAAAAAGAATGAACGACCCCTGAGATGACAAAAAACACTCTGCATCTTTGACATTTGCAACTTTAAGTACAAGCTTTTGATGCATCCATGATCGTGACAAGGCTATTTGAAAGAATAATGTACAATTTCCCATTTGTAATTAGAACAGTAAGATTTATGCTTGTTATTGGTCGGAAAATGTGTCAGATTTGTGTCTTCATATGTACAGGCTGATTAGTGTTTTGACGTTGTTTTTGTCCTATTAGCGACTAATTGGTTGGAAATGCACCAATACATGTGTCACATAGAAGTTAGTTTTTCATTGAGGCTGCTCCTTTAACTACCCTGCGTTTATGAGGCTGCTCATGTCAATTACAAGAAGATCAGATAGGTGGAAAAGCATATGACAAGGAAACTGCAGAAAATAGGATTACTTTCCTCATCGACAGAGGAGAGTGCACTGGCGGGCAGTCTTTCCCAGCTTTATCAGATTAGCGCAAATGCTCCAATGTGGTTGGCAGCTCTGGGCTCAGCATTCAAGCCAAGCATCAGTCCAGACAGGCTACTCTTCCAGCTGGGTGAGATGAGATTCATTTTCTCCATCTTGTTAGCTCTTTCTATCTAAACTCATTTGAGGTTTCAGAGTCAAATGTCTCAAACGGGGGTTCATTCTCCTTATATACCTTCACAGGTGGCACACGTGCAGACTAACTTTAAGTCATGAGGCCAACGGGCTGAAAAATGCTGATACAAAGTTTTGAGAGTGCCATCTCTGTGTTGCAGAGAAACAAAGGGATTGATAGTAATGGGACTTTTCTCTTTTATTGCCCCCCCCCCCCCCACCCCATTTCAGCACGTTCCCAGAAAGTCAGCTACATTCACACCAGTAAGCTAGACAAACACAAGTACACACACGCACACACTCTCACACACACACACACATACACACTTTTAGCTCCAAGCTCGCTCCACATCCCTGCAAGATCAAAGTCCCGCCATGTCTTTGTGAATACGACATTAACCTGCTTTATTTATTTATTTTCCTCGCCTGTCTCGAACCTTTTAATCAAAAGCTGTGAGAACAGTGTGTTAAAAGGATTTCCCTGCCACTGAAAGTTTCAGGCAGGTCACATCATTTCAGCCCGGCTGTGAGGAGTCCTGTCTTTGAAGTCTCACATCACTGGCATATCACTGACATTAAGGAAACAATAGAGTTCCCATATGAAAGCGTTCTGACATTCATCTGAGCCTTGTGGAGATCCCCTCTGACAGAGCTGTGGATGGTCGAATGTTGACAAAAGAATTCAACCACAAGGCTTGGAGTCTCGAATCCTGACCAAATACAGATTCAAATCACCGATAGTTCTACATTCAGCTGGCTCTATTAAGTTGGTTGGTGTTCCTAATTCAAAATCAATTCTCAACTGTGTTGTCCATACAAAAGAGGCTAATAACCTTTCAGAGGCTTTGTATTATGTTCATTTACTCATTCTTAAGGTTATTTTACTGATCAACACCCTTTAATGTAGTTTTGTCCCACAGTCCTTTGCAGTCAGTTCCCAGTTCGGCATCTGATATTTCATAGTTTAAAGACCTCTGCCCTGAAATTTTGCAACGGATTGATTGGTCAGCTCTGCCCAGTGAAGAAGAGGTCACATTTAGTGTATTCTGCTCAATAAAACTTTTTTTCTATATCTAAAGAAAAATATAACTTCTTCTGCAATTATTACGAGCATGCCAGACAGGGATTTTGCGGGTTAAAAATGGGGATAATTCTATTACTGTAACTGTAACTAAACTCCACATGGCTCATAAGTCGCTGAAAATAATTATAAAAAAATGCTCCCCACAAAGTTGGTTGTATTGAGTAAAATGCATCCATACATGTAAACATTTCTATAGGATATCTTTGGGGGGTAAGTGCAATTGAAACTATCTTACTTTCATGAGTGTAAAAACACATATGCTAAAAATATTGAATGCTCTCTAAAAGATCAATGAAAACAGAACGCAGTGGTTTTTAAATCACATGAACCAATGTTGTTTTCATAGTGAGTATAGCCAAGAAAATGCATAGGTTGGTATATTTCACGTAAACGATTAGCTCAAGTCAAATTTAATGGCGGCAATACATCTCTAAATAGTTAAGTGTGGCTTGGAAAAGAAAAGTGTTACTAAAAAGAAACAACTGAAGGAGCAAGTTTCAACTAATTAGGTTAATTGGGAACAGGTCAGTGAGATGATGTTAATATGAAAATAGCTGGTTTGTTGGCCAGACTAAAAGAAATAGATATGAGAATAGGTTCATAAATCAGCAAAAATGAAGCTATATATTTCAGAAAGAACGTCAGCGACATTTCTCAATGTAAGATTCCAAAAAACTTTAATAATCCATCATCTACATATTGTCTTTAAAAGATTTTTAAAAAATCTGGAGGTATCTGTTTGTGCAAGGGACATAATGTGGCCATAATTCAACTTTGGATGGCTTTGATCTTCAGGCCCTGGTGCTGGTCAGCATTAAAAGCAGATACGATTCTGACATGGACACTTTATCCCACAAATAAAAAAAACCCTGACTGAACACACTCCACACATGCTGCCATCCGCTGCTCTAAAGCTAATTACAAATGAACTAAGTAAAGGGGGAAAACTGCTTCACGGTCAGATGAATCAGAGTTTGAACTTCTCGGAAGAAGCATCCTCAGAGCTAAACAGGATAGGAAACAACTGGCATGTAATCAGTCCTTAGTTCAAAAGCCTGAATCTCTAATGTAAGGGGGGTGCATTAGTGCCTAATGGATCTGACAATATGCACATATGAAAAGGCTCCATTAATGCTGAAAGAAATATGCAAGTTGGAGAGCAGGATATGCTTTATTGCAGACAACATCTTGTCAAGAAGGGCCTCACAAATTTCAGCAAGACAACGCTAAAGTGTTGTTTTTCAACTTTTTGAACGTTTGCAAAGATTTCCACTACGCTTTTGTTGAACATTTCGTGCATTTCACTTGCAGTTTTGTATTTTCACCCAACACATCCTCCCTCCCGCAGTCCAAGATTGCATTCTTTCATCCTGCTAATCTGCAGATGGCTAAAAACTGTCAGAAGAGGAGCATGAGGGGGTGAATGAAGGAGTTGCATTTGAACTCTCTTGCTCTACAGGGCTTCGCTGTGGCTCAAAGCAGTGAATCCAGCTTCAGACCTGGAGGTTGACCTTAAGAATATTTCTTTGGAGAACAGAACATACATGGTTTCATCAGATTGATAAATTAGCTGCATTTTGTCATTTAAACTGGTTCATTTTACCTTAATGCTTCCCACAATATAAAATGTTTCCCTTCTTCCAGCAAACCTTTTGCAGGTATTGAAAGTCATTACACAGTCTCTTTGCATTAATCCTTGGTATGCTATCCATTTTTTTGCCAACCTTTGACAGTAAACATCACAGTATAAAGAAACTAGACCTGACTCATCCAGCCTTCAGCTTTGCCATGCTATAAAAAGAGAAAACTCTTCTGAACATCTCTAAACTTGAAACTAAAGTCAAGTTTGAGCAGCGCTTTGTGACAATTTGCTACAGAAACTACGCGCGATGTTGCATCTGATTTTCTTAATAAATTACAGTGTCCTAAAAGTTAAGTTGCAATAGTTTCCCGGACTTGGCAGGATGGAGGTTATTTCCCACTGCCCTTTGAAAGCAATCAATTATTCTCCGACCCTTATTGTTTGTTTCAGACGTACTCACAATGACAGCCAGGGAGTGGTGTTCACCTTAAAGGTCACTTTGTGGGCTTCCAGGGCCTCAGCTGGACGTGTGACGGTCAAAACATGAGCTGAAAGCAAACATCTCGTAAATGTTGCAGGTGTGGTTCTCGTTGAGAAATTAAAACCCTAAACACAGAATTTATCCAGAGATCAGGGCACATGAGTAGGTGAAAGCAAAAAAAAATCTGTTAAGGTAAACAAAAAGTGGAATGCCAAATGTGCACGTCGTCCTGAGCGTGCCGAAGCTCATTTTGGCCATGAAACACCCACAGGGACATGTCAGGCCGCTCGTCTGTCCCCGTAAAGACTTCAATTACTTTGACAATGTGGGTCCAAGTCAAGAAAACTGACAGTTTATGGGAGGACTCATTGCTGGTCTACCACTGAGTCTTATCAAAGTACAGTTGTGTTCACCATGCAGATTGAAACATTTGATCGATAAAAACAGGAAAAAGGGTAAATGAAAGATAACTCTCTCCCTTCTCATTGCCCGTTTGAGGAGTTTATTTCGTAAAGACTGGAAGCAGGTGGCAGCAAGCTCTGATCCATCAAGAAAGAAAAAAAACAGCAGACAATTCTGAATCCCGTTTGTTGAATCTGTGTAAAAGCTATGGTTTAAAATGTCAACTGTCAACAGCTCTCAATTGTAATGTACTTTATGGAACCTGTAAAAAGGAGATATGACATCCCTCTCAAGCACTGTCAATTGATGCACTTACCCATCAAACTTTGTCCTTTTATGTCAAAAGGCCATCAAGCTGTGGTGAGTAGAACCGAGATGTGACACTTTAGGTTTTCTCCATCCCACTTTGCTGGCAGTCAAGCTTCATCAGGCGAAAGAAAACACAGATCCATCAATAAATAAACAGAAAAGCAGGTATACTGAGAGTCCATCCATCTACTTTGCAGGGTGACTATTTGTGGATGCTAAGTACTTAGTATTCCCACTTTCAAACTGCCCACTTTGTACTTGATAACAGAGGGAGCATGATAGTGTGTTGCACTTCTAGAATATTAATGGCATGGTTGCAATTAATGTGAATGCAACTGGGATGACAATTACTGAAAAGGAAGCATTCTTATAATAGATGCATTTCAGAGTTACTAAATGTATTGGCAGCAGTTGATGGAAAGTCTTCCACATAGATTTTCCACTGTAATTATTTTGTTTATCGTAAACCTATAATTAAGAACCGTCCACTTATAACGCATTTCTTTTTTTAAACTGCAATGTTTCTTTTTCAAATCATATGACTTTTCATTTGGAGATGGCTTAATGAATCTGTAGGGATTCTTAAGTTCTTAGCCTTTGTCATCCTATTTGCTGAGGCCAGCTCCATCTCAGTCACTGTGGTTGCACTATGACAACGTTGAACCAATATAGTTGAAGTCATTCAAAGTTTGACGATCTTCTATTTATAAACAGACTGCTGAGACAAGAGATTCTTTTGACCCTGCAATCCTTGTGATTAACAAGTTATTTCGCATGTTTATGGATTTTAAGTCAGACCCACTGCCTGTTTATCACACATTGTTTAAAAAAAGATCATGAAAAAACTGCAAACTTGAAGCTTCAAAAAGCAGCATAACACCAGAATTATATCAATCGTTTATGATGCCAGTTGTGGAGAATATAAAGAGACAGAGGTCTATTCATTTGTAAGTATCCCACAAGACAAATTTAAAAGACAAATCAAGCACTCTAATAGCTACAATTTGTGTTGTTACATGAGGTTGTTTGTTGCCCTATTCCCATTAGGGTTGTTATCTGTTGTAATTGTGAAGCTGTCAGGCAACTGAAACAAAAATTATAAATTACCACAAATAAACCTCTTTAGAATTGTCTTTCACAGTAGATTTTAATATGAGATTTTAAATCAGGGTTTTAGAAGCTGTGTAAAGTTTTTTTATCTGGCTTATTTGTATACTATTGAGCTGTAAGCTATACTCTTGAATTCTAGACTCTATTCTAAAAAATTATAGCAGTTCTGAGCTAGCCAAGGTTTAGATCTTGCTCTTTTGTTACCTGTTTATTACGCTTTTGTTTCTGAACTGAAATCCTGCTCTTTTTGTGGTCACAGCTGCTACATTGGTCTTCAGTTTTATTTTTTCCCTGTTGGAGAGGAATCAAAACCATTCCACTGTTCTACATTGTGACGATGACCAAATGTTTTTATATATCTTGAAGTGGATAATTATTTCTTCATGGTTGGAGATGCGAGGCGAAATTCCAAGCAGTGTTGGGTGCTTGCAGTTTTATTCATTTCTGTGTTGTGGGTGTACCTGAGTTCATACACGACGTCTGCTTGTCTATAGCAGTTCAAGGCTCCATCCTATTATGATGCCACATTCAGATGAGTGGGCAACATACCAGAGGAAGACAGAAAAAAAGGCTTGATTACTTTCATTAATCAGCTCATTGCTTCTCTACTGACTGAAAACCACTGAGTCAGAAATATGAGGAACCATGTTTGCTTGGTAGAGAATAAAATCCTACTTTTCCTACGGATTGATTCCTTAAACTATTAACTTTATGACCGTGTTTACTATAGCAGAAAAAGGTTTGAATGATAAAAACATGCACACACACATACCCCCCCCCCCCCCCCACACACACACACACAAACACACACACCACACACACACACACACACACATCTAAAGTCTCTTATGAAAACACAACACTACAACCTCAGGGGAAATAAATCCATTAACTAAAGAGCAGCTTTTAGACAGCTATCATGTATGCAATTATTGTGTTTATATGTGTGTGGCATGTGAAAAAAAGGGACATGTGGGGAGAGGATAAATAAAGCTAAATCTGCCATAAAAAGCACTTTGATCACAGTATTTCATATTTGCCCATGTTTAACTTGACATTTTGAAAATACGACGCTATTTATTGATGTTGCTGGTATCCTAGGCCTATGAAGTCTTGATTGTGAGGAATTCAAACACTGTATTTTAGCATTGTAAATCGTTATTAGATTATGTAGCAGTGAAATTCATAATCTATCAATCCATTTTGATCACTGCATGCAAATGAAATAGTAAAATATTCCTGTTGAGGATATGCTGTTTTAATATTACAAATATAATTTGCATCACAGATGCAATATCGGGTTGAATTTTCCATGTAGATTTATTTATTTAATTATTTTCAGACTTGGGAAGCCGATTGGTAGGCGGGACTCCAGTGCTTTCGCTGTCAACTGTTGGTTCTTTGTTCATGAGAAAAGATTTTGCGTAAATCATTGGAAGGAAGCGTCACGAGGTCTAGGCTCTGATTGGTCAACATAGCCGGCGGGAGAAGCTCAAACAAAATTTCGAATGTTTCAACTGTTGTGTTAATTTCCTGTGCGACCAAAGGTTTTACGTTGTCGTTAGGAATAGCTACTTCTTGTTTATCAAATTGTTAACGTAGTTTCTAACACATTGCAAGCAATAAATACACGGAAGATGGCTGAACCACTAAAGGTAAATTTACTGTCAGTTTTACATTTCCTCCGGTTTTCTCACCGCCACTCCTCATAAAAGCTTCTTAACAACGGTTAATGCTAGCTGTGATATAGCTTCTTTAGCGGTAGCCTCGTTTACTGTATTTTAAACTTTGCAATTCGGAAAACGCTTACAACCCGAAATGTACAAAATGCACTGGTTAAAACCATAGTGTTGCTTTAAGGTACCCCTTTCCTTTACATAATTAAACACACGTACATATGTTAAATATGAACCGTTAGCAGATATTAAGTGTTTTTTTATGCTCTTTTGTGTGAGGCTCTGTGTTGTAGTGTTGAGTCATTACAACCACGCGAAGCTGTTATTTTCAATCATGTCATCCTTTATAGGGATGAGACTTCATTGTAAATGAAATCCTAACTTTGTGTCATGTCCTCCAGGCCTTTTTTGAAAACAAGCCAGTGGCAAAGGCTAAGAAAGATCCCAACCGGCTGTCCGTGGAAAGGATTTATCAAAAAAAGACGCAGTTGGAGCACATCCTGCTCAGACCGGACTCGTATATAGGTTCTGTAGAACCTGTCACTCAAGTAAGACATTTTTTTGCCATGTTTGAATGAATATGCTTTGATTTAGTTCCTTGGATGAGTCTTACAGGGTTTAATCAAGTCAGTGCTGCAGGGTGATAATTGAGAGAGCAAACTAGAAAGTGCAAATATCATTAACTGATTTCTTCCTGTAGCAAATGTGGGTGTATGATGACATTGTTGGACTGAACTGCCGTGATGTTTCATTTGTGCCTGGGCTTTACAAGATTTTTGATGAGATTCTCGGTGAGTAACAGGCTTTCACAATTTAGATGATATACGATGTTCTGCATCCTGCGATGGTGCTTCAGCTCTTTTTGTTAAATTCCTTCAACAGTAAATGCATCTGACAATAAGCAGAGGGATAAGAGCATGTCCTGCATCAAAGTCAGCATCGACGTGTGAGTGATTTATAATCCTGCAGCAGCTCACTTCTTAAGATATATAACAATTCTGCTTAGTTCTCTTTGCTTGCCATGGCCTGATACATTTTCTTGATGTTAGAACATTGCACATGATAACTTTACTTTGTATTCTTAGTGAAAACAACACGATCAGTGTATGGAATAATGGGAAGGGGATTCCTGTGGTGGAGCACAAGGTGGAGAAGGTTTATGTTCCTGCTCTCATCTTTGGACAGCTTCTTACTTCCAGTAACTATGATGACGATGAGAAGAAAGTCACTGGTGAGACTGTTTGTTTATTTTCTTCAATTACAGAATGTATCATTTCAGTCAATTAATGGGGCCTTTGGTGGTCAGGTCTGATTGCCTTTTGCTCATCGAAGATGCATTTAATATGATGGTATGTGAAGACATTGCCAAGATACAACAAAAGGAATAACGATAATGTGAGCAACCTTTGCTGACAGAGTTGATTGGATAGAAAGAAAAATTGCTTAAATCATTATTTTTATTTAGTGCTGATGATTAAATGAATGAGTGTATTTAAATTAAGACATCAATAAATGAAAGATGTCACTTCTTTTTGCCCAAAACCTGCACCAGCTGACATCCATACTTTGTTCTTTAGGTGGGCGTAATGGATATGGTGCAAAGCTATGCAACATCTTCAGTACAAAGTTCACGGTAGAAACTGCCTGTAAAGAGTCGAAAAGGTTCTTCAAGCAGGTAGGAGGAAGATTGAACCACAGTGTAATATAGCAAATTGTAATACATGGGACTTTACTATTGTTGTTGTGTTTTCCAGACTTGGTATGACAACATGGGCAGAACGGGGGATCCAAGCATCAGACCTTTTGATGGAGAGGAATACACTTGCATCACCTTCAGGCCAGATCTGTCCAAGTTCAAGATGAGCATCTTGGACAGAGACACTGTCGCACTCATGACCAGGAGGGCCTACGACATTGCTGGATCCACCAAGGGTGTCAAGGTGTTCTTTAATGGAAAGAGGCTGCCAGTAAGTTTCAACTACCAAATGTTTGAACACTTTATGATTTTGAAATATATTTTACACGTCCTTTTTATGCTGACAATTGATTTCCATACTTCTGGTAGTTTGTCATAGTTAGTAATAAAGTATGAAGCTGAACATCCTAACAGCATAATGAAGTTTTGCTGGGCTTTTCTATGAGCGAATATTATAAAATGGTGTATAAATCTTGGAGTCTGCAGCTTTTTTTGGAGGATCTTTTTTTTTTTTAGTATTACGCAGCATTGTTGTTGCAACCAGCTGGTGTTTTCTCACTGGCTGTACATTTGATATACAGTGAATGTCCCTTTTCCCCTCTGCTTGATAGCCAGTCGAAAAATTTGTGAGTGAAGGGAAAATCTTGCTTTTAAACTTCAGGTTACAGGTTTTCGTAGCTATGTGGACATGTACGTGAAGGACAAGGTGGATGAGCTGGGTGGCCCTCTCACTGTGATTCATGAAACTGCTAATGAACGCTGGGAGGTCTGCCTCACCATGAGCGAGAAAGGTTTTCAGCAAGTCAGCTTTGTCAACAGTATTGCCACAACAAAGGTAAGGTCTCATTATGTTTCTCTTTGTAACGCTTGATTTGTTTATAATAGAATTAAAGAGTAATTAATGAATTAGTAGTGAGTTGTTACCTCTTCCTCAATGATAAATGTTAACATTTTTAGTAGATTGTTTGAATACTGTACCAATCATAACTTTGTTGCTTTGTCAGCTGTTCGTGAATTTATGTCTAAGGACATCTATAAAGCATTTTCTCTCTGAAATACTAGACCGGTGTTTTTGGCAGATAAGTACAAGTTTGGCTGCTCTCCAACCCACTTAGTGTCACTGTGATCAAGATTTACCACGTTTGTTCTGTAAATGGGATCTCATGCCTTATTTTTTTTCTGCTATGGGTCTTAGGGAGGCAGACACGTCGACTATGTGGCTGATCAGGTGGTTGGCAAGCTCATTGAAGTGGTGAAGAAGAAGAACAAAGCTGGTGTGGTTGTAAAGCCCTTCCAGGTACAGTCAGGTTATGGTCAACATTTCCATCTTTTATACTGATAGACAAACTGTTCAAATAAATTCAATGTTTGCATTCTTCCCCTCTGCTTAGGTGAAGAACCACATGTGGCTGTTTGTCAACTGCCTCATCGAAAACCCAACCTTTGACTCTCAGACCAAAGAGAACATGACACTGCAGCAGAAGAGCTTTGGGTCCACTTGTCCACTCAGTGAAAAGTTCATTAAGCAGGTTCATAATACAGGAAAACAAATCAAAGTTCATGACTTTAATTATATAATCAGCCGGCTTTCACTGATTGCACCATATTCTGTTTAACTTAAGGCCACATCCTGTGGAATTGTGGAAAGTATCATGAACTGGGTGAAGTTCAAGGCTCAGGCTCAGCTCAACAAGAAGTGTTCTGCTGTTAAGCACACAAAAATCAAAGGGGTTCCAAAATTGGATGATGCAAATGATGCAGGTAATCCCCCCCCCCCCCAAAAAAAACAAACAAAAACAAAACCCAATCCTGATTAGTCAAACGAGCTGCACTTTTCTGCTTCTAACCATGTTTTCTGGCAGGCGGTAAGAACTCCATTGGCTGCACTCTGATCCTCACTGAGGGAGACTCAGCCAAGACACTTGCTGTGTCTGGGCTGGGGGTGGTTGGAAGGGATCGATATGGGGTGTTCCCCCTCAGAGGAAAAATGCTCAACGTCCGGGAGGCCTCGCACAAACAGGTTAGCTTCCATAGAATTTCACCTGTCGTCATTCGAAGGCATCCGCCTAACAGTAACGTAGACAGCTGTGAGCATGCATTGGGTTCTATTCTTTTGCAGATTATGGAAAATGCAGAAATCAACAACATCATCAAGATTCTCGGTCTTCAGTACAAGAAGAACTACAGTGACCCAGAATCCCTCAAGAGTCTGCGTTATGGAAAGATCATGATCATGACAGATCAGGTGTTTATTTAGTCTTTGCCTAATGCTCACCCAGGTTTATTCTTCTCTATCAGTCATCATTGAAAATGTGGGAGCAAAATTCAGATGCATTACTTCTTTCCTTTAGAGCACCCAGAATAAACTGTTGTGGTACAGGAGACTGCTAAAGCTTATCCCATTGTAAATAAATCTCTCTGAGTCACTTTGAATTACTGGGCATTTATTGCACCAGAAAGGGCTCTTCCATTACTCATTGTGGCTGCAATTGAAAAAGCACGAGTAGTGGAAGACGCAAAGCACCCAGCACAAAGGTCATTCTTGGATAAATCTTAGAGCATAATGAATAAGATGATGTTGCCCCACATTTACCATCAGCTGATACTAACCCTGAGTTTTAATCATGCTGTAATATGATTTCACTATATTCATATTATTGTGACAGGATCAAGACGGTTCACACATTAAGGGTTTATTGATCAACTTCATCCACCACAACTGGCCTTCACTGCTCCGCCATAACTTCCTGGAAGAGTTCATCACCCCCATCATAAAGGTACATGATTCATATAAGTATTTTATTTTATAGTATCATATAAGTATATTTCAGTGTAAATCAGGAGATTAAACATGGATCTGGCTAATTTTGGCTGTTTGCCAGCCTTAGTATAAATTATTATCATTCTTTAATTGCTTATATAGAGATGTAGATTGTAATGTGAAACAAAAACTGATTTCCATCACGAACAGAGGCTCATGTTTTGTTGGTGAACTGCCCAAATGTATATCAATACTGCCACCTGCTGCCAGAATCTCACACTTTGCAGCCAACTGGATGTGATGGAGAGCTGCCTTTTGACACTAATCTTTGTTTCCCATTATCACTATGACACGGCATCAATGCACAATTTGACATTTTGATCATTTTCTTTAGGCATCTTTCAAGAAAACCCAGATGTCTTTCTACAGTATCCCTGAATTCGACGCTTGGAAGAACAGCCAGCCCAACCACAAATCTTGGAAAATCAAATACTACAAAGGTTTGTTATAAACCCCTGTGTGGTAGTAAAACACAGACAAGTAAGCCACCCGTCATACTTGGTCAGTGTATTGGATGCTGTTAAGGAGGCGTTTCATATATCGCTGCAACTTGTTCTTTTGTTTGTTGGCTTGAATTACCCAGGTTTGGGAACCAGCACATCACAGGAAGCCAAGGAGTACTTCTCTGATATGCAGAGACACCGTATCCCCTTCAAGTACTCTGGACCAGCGGATGATGAAGCTATCACCCTTGTAAGGCGTCGGCCATTTGTTTAGAAGTAGCCTCTGGCTCTGAGAGATGAGTCATAGGTCGAGGATTTTAATCCAGCGTCTCTTCCTTTCGGTTAGGCCTTTAGCAAGAAAAAAGTGGAAGAGCGAAAAGAGTGGCTAACGAACTTCATGGTCAACAGGCGCCAACGCAGGGAGCTCAACCTGCCTGAGGTACCGTAACAATTAGAGAGCTTTGTGATCTTTAGTGCAGTTTTCAGTGATGTATAAGGCTTACTTTCCTGTGTTTGTAGGACTACCTATATGGGCAGTCAACCAAGTCTCTGTCCTACAATGACTTTGTCAACAAGGAGCTTGTACTTTTCTCCAACTCTGACAATGAGAGGTCCATTCCCTGCCTGGTGGATGGTGAGTGATATGATCAAGATCCCAGAGAACGAACGTTATTACTGTTGATATGACTCTAAGGTGAAGCAGGTGGTCTAATGTGTGCATTCTGTGTGTGCCAGGCTTGAAGCCAGGTCAGAGGAAGGTGATGTTCTGTTGCTTCAAGAGGAACGACAAGCGGGAGGTGAAAGTGGCTCAGCTGGCTGGCTCAGTGGCTGAGATGTCAGCCTACCATCATGGGGAGGTGAGGCGGCCCGATTTGAGTGATTATTGACTGGCTGCGTTGTCTTTGTCTACCACGAGGGTCCTAATTCTGTTCAGTGGGCAGTGCTACCATGTGGAAGAGCCCACTTGTTTTAATTGCAGCTCTTTTCATTTTGCAGGTCTCGCTGATGATGACAATCATCGGTTTAGCCCAGAACTTTGTGGGAAGCAACAACTTGAACCTGCTGCAGCCTCTGGGACAGTTTGGAACCAGGCTGCATGGAGGCAAGGACTCCGCCAGCCCTCGATACATCTTCACCATGCTCAGGTCAGTGGGCGTCTTTCACTCTGCAGTGGGGCAGAAGTGCATCTCGCAGACTGCCTCGTCAGTGAGTGACTTTAAATTTCCTTTACCCTCTGTGCTTCCAGCCCTGTGGCTCGCCTTCTTTTCCCACCAGTAGACGACAACCTCCTGAAGTACAACTTTGATGACAATCAGCGCGTCGAGCCAGAATGGTACATTCCCATTATCCCCACAGTCCTGGTGAACGGAGCCGAAGGCATCGGCACAGGGTGGGCCAGCAAGATTCCCAACTATGACATACGCGAGATTATCAACAACATTCACCGCTTGCTTGATGGAGAGGAACCTCTGCCTATGGTGAGGATTCCCTTTGGATTTAAAAATCTGCCTGTTTTTCTGTTGTTGTTTTTTTCTGTACAAACTACTGGCTAAAATGCATGTTTCCCCTCTCAGCTTCCAAACTACAAAGGCTTCAGAGGCACTATTGACCAACTGATGGACAACCAGTATCTGAATAGTGGAGAGGTGGCCATCATTGACTCCACCACCATTGAGATATCAGAGTTGCCTGTCAAATCCTGGACACAGGTTAGACATTACAGCCATGTCCGGCCACAGAAGCATTACTTCACTTTAGCACTGTTGAAATCTTTTAACTCTGTTTTAATCATAAACACCAAACACGCTTTGGTTTCTGTGATTTAGGCCTACAAGGAGAACGTGCTGGAGCCGATGCTGAACGGCACAGAGAAAGTTCCCCCTCTCATCAGCGACTACAAGGAATATCACACAGACACCACCGTGCGCTTCGTGGTTAAGATGACACCAGAGAAGCTGAGGGAGGCAGAGGCCGCTGGCCTTCACAAAGTCTTCAAGCTTCAGAGTCCCCTCACCTGCAATTCCATGGTAAGACTGTCACACACGTGGATACATGTACAGGGAGAGAATCAAACTAAGGCCTTCTGTGCTTTTTAGGTTCTGTTTGACCATGTGGGCAGCCTGAAAAAGTACGAGTCGGTGCAGGACATCTTGAAAGACTTCTATGAGTTGAGGATGAAGTACTATGTGCTGAGAAAGGATTGGCTGGTAGGCATGCTGGGGGCAGAGAGTGCTAAACTCTCAAACCAAGCCCGTTTCATCCTGGAGAAAATTCAGGGCACCTTGGTGATTGGTTAGTAGAAACTTTTTTTCAAAAGCCTTTCCCTTCCTCTAAATACTTATTTTGGTGACCGGAGCCGTAACTCCACGAGCTTGGAATGGGTTTTGGTTTGCCTCAATGAGAATAACAGCGTCAATCTGTTTCTAGAGAACAAACCGAAAAAGGAGCTGATTCGCATGCTGCAGCAAATGGGTTATGACTCCGACCCAGTCAAAGCTTGGAAGCAGGCCCAGGAGAAGGTGGGACGTTCTTCATCAAATGACATTCTGCTAAAAGAACAGGACGGTGACTCGGCGCTAAAGTTTGATGTTGTGCTTATCCTCTCAGAATGAGGAGGAGATGGAGGATGAAGAGGAGGAGGAAAAGGCTGACAAAGATGATGCAAATGGGCCCGACTACAACTACCTGCTGAGCATGCCCATGTGGTTCCTGACCAAGGAGAAGAAGGAGGAACTGTGCAAACAGAGAGATGCCAAGGTGGGATTCACCTGCTGTTTGACGGGCAAATAATTTTATGCTGAATTTCTCTCTTTGTGTGCTTAACTTTCTGACCCAAATGCTTCAGTTAACAGAGCTGAGCACTCTGAAGAAAAAATCTCCATGCGACTTGTGGAAGGAAGACCTCGCTGCTTTCTCAGAGGAACTTGAGGTAATTTCTCTTCCTGCGACTTTTGTGGTAACCTCCAATCAACAGTGAAAACTTTTCATGTACAAATGTTCTTTTTCAAACATTTCCCCCCGATTCGGTCTCCCTCTTTCTGGTTTGTAGCGCTTTGAGGCCAAAGAGAAGGAGGAGGAGGCCGCCATGCCGGTGAAGGGAGCTAAGGGAGCTAAGGGAGCTGGGAAAAGCAAATCGGTGAAGGTGAAGCAGGAGACTATGCCCACGCCCCAGGGCCGTCGCGTTGTTCCACGCATCACCAGCACAATGAAAGCAGAGGCAACCAGGAAGGCTGACCTTAAGAAAGGAGAGGGCAAGAGAGGCAGGAAAGTCAAGGTGGGGCTTTTTTTGTTTGTCTTTTTCCGTGCCAAATCTCACAACCCACGGGGCTCATCGCCGCGTCCGTAAAGCTTTTGGATTGTGGTCAGAAGCTCAACCGGTGTGCTCTCCTTTGGCTTGATTTCTGATCGAAGAGCGAGGATCTTGTGATGAAGATGGAGTTTGGGGAGGACGCCGACAACTCTGAGCAAACTGAGGAAACTGGTCTGGCTGCACGAGTGGTCAAGAAAACCAAAACCCAGCCAAAAGAGAAAGGTGAGATTTAACCAAATGTGTGTGCCTGTTTCATCTCTGGGTTTTCCCTCCCCTGCTGGGACCATTTCCAGTTTCCCCGGTGTTTTGTTTGCCTCACAGGGGATGCTAGAAGGGAGGTAAAGGCCATAATGCACACTCTCACCATAACAGTATGGTTCGGTCAACAGGTATCTATGAGCCAGACATGTAACGGCTCGCTGTGAGAACACGACCCCTCAGAGATCGATACGTGAGCTGCAGAGGCATTTTAAAGCGTGGTGCTTAATGCACACTGCCCTGTTTCAGCACACCTGATTCAGATAAATGGGACAAACCCTCCAGCTCTTTGAACTCTGCAGACGGCTGGAAGACCCATTTCTTTGATTCAGCTGTGCTGAAACAGGGTTTCTCTGAATGCATGCCGGTCAGCAGCAGTGTTGGGGAAACACCACTTTAAGGTGAAATTGACACTATTGTACATGTCTGTACAGTTTTGGGAGAAATGTCCCTCCTCAGGCTGTCAGTACACGTCTGCTCACATATTAGGAGTTTTTTTTTCTTTCCTGACAGTTTAGGTACTTTTCCTCAGATTTATGCAAGACTGTACCAGAGAATGCTGTAAAACTACTTAAACGACTCCAGTACTCTAATCTATGGTATGAGTGTAAAATTTTTAAGAAACTGAGTGATTCTTGTTTCCAGCAGCCTCAAAGACTGGAAAACAAACCACCCTTCAGTTCAAGCCTGTCAGCAAGAAGCCCAAGAAGAACCCGTGGTCGGATGAGGATTCTGAGGATGTGTCGGACAGTGACATGGAGGTGGAGGAAGTGGTCCCCGCCAGGGAGCGCGTGGAGCGCAAATCTAAAGGTGAGTCTGCTCGATGGTCCACACCGCTGTGCTCCATGATGGTGGAGCGTTCGTTCGACTCTCTCCAGCTCCTTACTCCAGCTCTGTTAGTCAGATGGAGAGACACATTTCCTGACTCTGATTAGCTCCCATCGCCGTTTATCTCAGAAATGATTACAGCGGCTGTTTACTTCTGGTGAATGATAACGCTAATCAACAAGATTGTTTTGGTTTGTTTTTTTATAGATGAAAAAAGAAGGACGAGAAAAGAAAACTTTCTAGAAAACGTTTGTGCTGTGTTTTTGTTTCAGCTGCAGTGAAGTACAGCCTGTCTGACAGTGAGGATGAATTTGCCAGCTGGGGGAAGAAGGCTCCTAAGCAGAGAGCTGTGGTCAGTGACGAGGACACCAGCTTTGCTCCGGAGCCCAGCGCTTTGTCCCCCAGCGACAGCGACTCTCCCGCCCCCCCTCCCAAAGCGCCAGCACCAACGTGAGTTAGGGAAAATAAATAGTTTGGTTTTCCTCCTCTGCACTTTCTGTTGCATTTTGTTTAGTTTTTTGCCCCCTCCCACTTATTTTAAGCTTTGCTTTTTTCCTCTCAGAAAAAAAGCAACAAAATCCAAAACAACAGTCAAAAAGGAAGAACCCAAGTCCAGATGTAAGTGTTGATGTGGGTCGTGTGGGTTCAGGTGTTGGGTCCCGGGCTTCTGGGCTAACTGTCTTCTTTATGTGGATGTTTACAGCTCACTCTGATGATCAGGCTCACGCCCCCAAAGCTGCACCTGCTAAGAAAACGGCTGCTGCCAAGAAGAAGGCAGCAGGTACTAACCAAAAGAGCTTATTGTGCTTTATGTCCAGCACCCTGCTAGCTGGAGAGGTTACCACGGCTACGGTTCACATTGTACACCATTCCTTTCTCCTAGATGGAAAGCAGCCATCTATCCTGGAAGCTATTTCCAAGCCCAAAGCTTCCTCCAGCAAGGCTGCCAAAAAAGCCCCTTCATTTGACTCCAGTGACTCAGAGGCTGGCAAGAAGGCTCCAGCTGCAAAGGCCAAGCCCGTTGTGAAACGAAAGCAGGCCATCAGCGACGACTCGGACAGCAGCTCGGACAATCTGATGTCCCGCCTTAAGGCCAAATCCAACGCCGGCACCAAGGTCAGGGTTTTTTTATGATATATTTATTTATTACCATCCAGAGTTTCCCCTTACACTACATTTCAATGCTAAAAAAAAAAATGGGCACATTCATTTCTTTTTGTAGAAAGCCAAACGGGAGGACGACAGCTTCCAGGTTTCAGACGAGGAGGCGGCAGCTCCTGAGGCCGCGGCTCCCCGGAATAAAGCCCCACGGGCCCGCAAACCCGTCAACTACAACCTCATCTCTGACTCGGATGAAGATTTTTAAAGTAGTTTTTCTCTTTTTTAAAGCTTGTAAATATGTTTGTTTTTCATCGTGATCTTTTTGCGTTTCATTTTCCTCAGTCACACACACTCTCATCTTCACTCATCCAGTTTTCATAGTTAAACGCTGTTATTTCCATGTTAAGTCCGAAAGTTCATCTGTACGAACCTCTTCATGTAAAGTTTGTGTTTTTCCGTTTCTGTTTTGTCTCACAATGCAAGTATTTCTGTGGTTCTTTTTCTGCTATCCTTTTTGAAATAAAGTTCTGATTTTGTCCCGTTGTGTGCGAGTTGGGTGTGTTTGCCCTGGGCTGCAGGGCAGGTTCCTGATTCGTAGCGTCAGGCGGCGTGCCGGGTCGATGGGAGGAGCTTCAGTGTGTGCTTTGGTGTGACGTGAACGGGTTACCGGAAAGTTTGGATTAGCAAGCCAAACTTTTATCTCTTCAGCAGGACGCTTAAGGGCTTTGCTTGTTTGTTCTCGGACGGAGAAAAGAGTGTTGTTTAAAATAACAAAGCCTGATCTTTAAACCCCTAACCGGCAGACTCCTGCAGCTCATCAACGGCCTCTGATTGCTCTGCACTTCTATTGATTTGATTTATCCGTCATCTTTGGGCAAATGTTCCCCGGTTGTCCCCGGAGACCAGGGAGACGGCTGGTCCAACTTAAAGGGTATCCTTCCTGCCACTTAGGAAGCTCTTTGAAATGCTCATCAAGAGTTTGCCTTTCTCGGGTAAACACGGCCTCTTGTCTGGAGCAGGGGGATGCAGATTAGGACGTAAAAGGAATTTCCTAAAGTGTTGCCGCCCTCTCAATTAGAAGCCGGGGCAAACCTTAATCGCATGCCATTTGGAGCGAGCGTGAAAGCAGTTCACTTCCTCAGTTTACGGGCCGAGGCCTCTTGATTCTGGTTTGGTTTGTGGGAACCTTGGACCTTCCCTGGCTTTGTTCCCGGTCCAGCAGGATTATAAGTGGATCTGCTGTGTCTCTGAGCCAGATGAACAGTATCGGGCTCAACCTGTTTTTGTCGTGGAACGTTTTGGCCCGGGAGGCCTGAGTGCATGCCTCAACTCGTACTGGCCTGTGGGTGAGAGAGACGGTGTCTTTTTTTTTAAATGCTGGCAGGATTCACATTTAGAGGAGTCGCTCCTCACTTTTGAGAAGAATCGGCGGGAGTGATGAACCTGAAGCAAACACCTGTTTGTGGCCACCTGTTTCAGTTTTGATTTCGGGTCTTGATTCCAGGGGAATGAGCTCTGACACGCAGGCTGGATTAGCCTCACATGCAATGATGTCCATTAGTTTCTTTTAATAACCACAGACTTTTTTTTTTTGCTCTGAGAGGAACAAATTTCCCCCATTTACGCTTTCTGCCGCCGCCGCCGCCATGGGAGAGTGGGGCTTCCTCGGCGGGCTGTTCGACAACCTGCAGGCCCACTCGCCCATGCTGGGCCGCTTCTGGCTCCTGCTCATGCTGGTGTTTCGGATCCTGATCCTGGGGACCGTGGCCAGCGACCTGTTCGAGGACGAGCAGGAGGAGTTCGCCTGCAACACCCTCCAGCCGGGCTGCAAGCAGGTGTGTTACGACATGGCCTTCCCCATCTCCCAGTACAGGTTCTGGGTCTTTCACATAGTCCTCATCGCCACGCCTTCGCTGCTCTTCCTCATGTACGCCACGCACCACCACAACAAGAAAACCTCGCGTCTGGGCTTCAGCCAGACCAGCAGCCAGGACATTTCGGAAGACTCCAGCTTGAGGAGGCTCTACCTGATAAACGTTACCTTCCGCATACTGGCGGAGATCGGCTTCATCGTGGGCCAGTGGGGGCTGTACGGCTTCAGGGTGGAGGCCCAGTTCCCCTGCAGCCGCTTCCCCTGCCCCTACACGGTGGACTGCTTCACCTCCCGGCCGGCCGAGAAAACCGTCTTCCTGTGCTTCTACTTTGCCGTCGGGGTGATCTCGGCCGTGTCCAGCTGTGCCGAGCTGCTCTACAGCTCCAGGAAGTGGTTCTGCCCGGGGAAGGAGCCCCCGGAGCGCCCCTGCACCTGCCAGCGCCACGGGGAGCCGGAACGGGCGTCCAGGAGCCTGACCGGCGGCCTGAGGCCGAAGGCCGGCCCTGGCTCGCTGCGGGGGGGCAGCAGCAGGAGGGGGGGGGGGCTCCGTCCTGGCCCACAAACACAGAGGGGGCAGATACGTGAGCAGCCGGACTCTCGTGGTGTGACAGGTCTCTGTGCTGCCCGCCTGAAAACCTCCAGCTTTTTAGGCGGAAGTCATGAAGAGCCAGAGGTTTACTGATGGGGGACAGCGGGAAATGCCCGGAAGCTCAGGAAATGAGTCTAGACGTGATCGCTAACTGGAACCAGCTGAGGAGGGGCATCCTTTTGTTAACGGGATGCCCCGGATAAGGAACGTTACCACAATCTCTTTGATGGACTCCCCCTCTCCTCCCAGAAATAAAAAGAGGACATTTGAATATTATTTGACGTTCTTGATGATGGATGCACTTGACTAGAGGTTCCTTTATGTTTTAGCTAAAACCACTGAGCAGACAGTTTAACATTTCAGAGCAAGGCCGGGTGTGAAATCCCACTATTTATCAGTCTGTCACTTGTTCCTCTCACCCGGCGCTTTTACCGTTAAAAGATGATTGACGTTTATGCTGTTCTGTCAATAACAAGTCAATACTGCAGTGAAATCTTTTAGGATCATAAAGTCAGCTTCATATTATTGTGTCACCGGGCAGTGGTTGCTTCACTGGCCCGGAACAGAGAGCAACAAGACACGTTTTGCCCTGGAAGTGTTGTGAGTCACTGGATGTGTCCATGTCACGGACACAGCGGCCTTTGGCTCTTTAAGTTTAAAAAGAAAAATTGCACTATAATGTCTTGTGAGTGTGGGAGTGAGTGAGCATGGGAACCGTTTGTCCTGACTGTGTGTGTGCTAATATGGCCTAATTACATGGAACTAATGTCACAGATCGAAACGCACGTCGGACGGGCGCGTCTGGTTCAGACAACTGTATTTGTGCTTTCGTTTTCTTTTTTTTTCTTCAATTAATCGTGCAAACTTCAACAGACGTTTGGTTACAGTTGAGTGACTTTCTCATCATTTCACCGAATATCAAATATTACATTGTGATCAGTGTGCGTATGGATACATCGCTTGTTTTAGTTCAGTGATGTCATTGGTTAGGAGTTGGACTTATAGTGTCAAAGGGTTTCATCTTTGTTTTCCTTTTGTCTGGAATGAATTTCAACGTTTAGCAGCTGGCACAGCTGTGCTTTGAGTTTTTTATTTCTTTATTTAATTGGAACTTTTGTGTCATAGATCTCCTTTCATTAAAAGGTGGCGACTTTCTCACAGATGTCTGCTTTCTTTCTGCGTGCCACGAACAGGCTCAGCAGCATTTTTTCAGAATTATCGTTGCATACATCTTAAAACATGAAACTGAACATGTCACAGTGCTGCTTTGTTCTTTCATTGCGTGGAATACTCTTCTTTTTTTTTTTTTTTTTCTTTAACAAAGTTTTGAGTCTAACTTCATGTTCAAGGTTTTGATGAGTGAAAGTAAAACTGTTTTTTTTTTTTTTTTAACCACTGGCCCAGAATCCAGCATTACTATTAATAAACCCTCAGTCTTTTTCTATCTGCTCAACGACAGCTGCAAGAAACTTGATAATCTGTCATTTTGTTGCCATGCTGTCTTCATATCGCTGCCCGAATGCCATTCATTTCTGACATTTTTTACATAAAAGCTCCAGTTTGCTGAGTCTTTTGCTACAGTGACCTCACTCGGCTGTGCAGAGGGATGCATGTGCAGCGCCCGTGCAGCACACTGAGGGGCAGGATTTATAATCATTTCACAAATTAGATCAGTTTCTTTGTACTCGTCCTAAATCTTGCGTCCCCACCAGCGTAATTTGGTTATGCAACTGTTGCGTAATATGCAAATTGCTCAAGACTGATGTGGAAATTTCGAAATGCTGGAGATATGTTGCGTATATCCGCTCAAATCTGTTTAGGGTGCGACGACAAGGGTTTCCTTATAGGGATGTGGAAGCTGAACTGTAACGTGCAGTGTTGTTTTCTATTGGAAATGTGTCGTTTTATCATACCAAGATTGAAAGAGTGATATAAGAGCCTCAAAAAACTAAACAAAAAAATGAATAGAGGTGTCATACTTCAAACCTCATTGGTTTGAATTGGTAAAGAGTTTTAAGTTGACACTTCTTTCTAAAATCATCTGAGGAGTTGTCTGTAGATGCCTTTTGCTTCTTTTGGATCTTAAAATGTTTCTTTATGTGCAGCAACCTTTTGAAAGAGGATGTTTGCTTTGGACAATTCCTGTAAAATATACTCTGGGTTGAGGTTAAAAAAAAGAAATGAGGTGGAAATCATTTGAAGCAGAAAATGTATCTTTTGAATAGGAGCTTAATCTGAGCATTCGGATGTTTTTGCAGATCATCCTGGAGCGTTTTCGTTTTTCCAGCAGCAGGTGGCAGTAGTCACGCAGGGAAAAGGAGGCGGTTTGAGCCATGAAGCCCTCATCCTCAGTGAGATGACTTAATTAGCTGCCACCTTACTGGAGTGATGCCTTAAATGCTGTCGGCTCACTGAGCGGGCTTTTTGCTTTAGGCCCGCGCGTGTCACTGTGGCTGTCAGGACCGGCACATCTCAACGGGAAAACATCGCACAATGCCTAATTCAGCCGTTCCACCTTGAATCCTGTTAACGTTGTGCAAGCCGTTTTATTCTATACTCTCTTATCTCTGCAGTATTTTTTTCGCTTTTCCAAGATTCAGGCGGCCACAGATCCAAGTGGCTCATCTGAACACTGAGTAATCTAAATACTTTTTCAAAGAGGCTTATTTTTATACTCCAACCTTCCTCCCGGAGAGACACACACACATACACACACACACACACACCCATGCATACGCATATGCACAGCCCTTCTGTGGTTCCCTGGACGCATCATATATGCAGATTGCAAAGCTGTGCAGGCTCTTTGATGTGCATAGAACAGAATTCTAGATGTGTTTTATATAACCACTCGAGAGGAAAAGGAAGGAAGAGTCGAAGAGGATTACCGTCAAAACTTTCCCCGTTTCCCTTTCGTCTGCCTGAGTTTCTCATGTCTATCATGTCAAAGTGGAAGCCTGCCTGTTTCCCTTTCTTTGCCTCCACCAAACAACCCTCGCTCATCCACCCCCCCACCCCCCTTCTTTCTATGCCTTTTCCATACCTTCCTTCTGAATCCAGGGGAGGCTTTGCCGCTGGAGCTTGTGGCTATGGAAATGTAGGTCACGGGCTCTCTGTCGCTCCCTTTCACACCAGCGTGGAGCAGGAGATGGAGGTGATAACATCTCTCTCTCTGCACTTCTCCCACCCCTCCTTTCTTCTCCCCCTTCTCCTCTTTGAGCGAGACACTTCAGGGGCTCCCTGCGCTCTACCTGGTTTCGGCGGATTGGGCCTTGTGTTGGCGCCCGGCTGACTGACAGCTCCTCACCTGCTCCGTCACAGACTCCACAAAAGTCTCCCAGCATCACAGGATCCGCTCGCTCGCTCGCGTTATGGGCCCCCTCCGAGTTTGTCGAGACGCCTTCATTTCCAAGAGGAGATCTGGAGAAACATCTCTCTCACAGCTGTCGCCGTTACAAACGTGGCATGAAAAAAAAAGCGCACTTGTCTGCTTTCACTCCGGGACTTCTGCGTTTATTTTTGGGGAAGAGCACTCGGCTCAGAGTCAAATAGAGTTGACTTTATAGTCGGGAGTTTTATTAGCGCGAGACGCAATAACGTGTTTGAAATTCTAGACAAACACGGTGGAGGATATGACAAAAAACAAAACAGCATCGCTTTCGTATTCGCATCCATTTATTCGTCTTTCGGAAGGATTTTCTGGTAATATTGTGTGAGTAAAGGACGCATTCAGCCGTTGTTTGTGTCTAAAGATATTAATTCACAAACGCCTGTGAACAAGCATTTGGCGATCACCCAAAATATGACAATAATGACAAAAAAACCCCACTAAACAGACCGGGCTGAGCCCGTATGAATGTTATGACTGCAGAGGGTATTAAAAGTCCGTTTATGTAACTGTTACACGCTGACCTGTGTGACCCCGCTGCGATGCTTGGGGGGCATTGTGTAGTTGAGTTTGTGCTTGCTGACCTCTGGCCCGTCTCACTGCTGGCTACAGAGCTGATAGCTTCCAACCCCCCCAACCCCCTTCCCTGCGTGCAGCTGAGGCATGAGTCTACATTTATGGCGTCACCAAAGCGTGCGGGTCAGTGAACATCACACCTCCGTCCCCGTCTCCTTCTCCTCCTCTGAATCTGGTCCCTCTGCCCTTCTTCTTCTTTTTTTTATCCCCTTACTTCATGCCCTGACTGAATGCGACCCTTTATCAGAACGATCCTGGCTCCTCTGTTTTTCTTTTTTTTTTTCAAACCCATCCGTCCATCTGCTGTCCACTCTCCTTCCTGGTTTCAGCGCCCGAGGGGGACGGAGGGGATGGGCGCACCGCGAGTGCTGCTCCTGCTTTCCGACTGACTCAGTCCTCCTCCCCATAATTCTCTCTGTTTCTCCTTGTCGTAAAAATGTTGTGTGCTGTGCGGGGGCCTTTGGGGCGGATGACCACAGAGCGGCGTGGCGCGTAGTGACCGGGAGAGAGAGTGAGCTGACTGCTCGGCTGCCCGCTGACACAACAGCTTTGCTTGATGATGATGATGCTTTTTGGCCCCGCTGCTCGCCCAGCGCGGCAATATGTTTGACGGGGTGGAATTTTTTCACTTTTCAGTGATGGCTTTGGGGTTTTTTTTTCTGGGGAGCGTTTGTCTGAACGTGACTACAGAGGGTTTAGGGTCCAGTTCAGTCCACTTGGGCCTAGTTTGTTGTTTTCTGTGAGGTCTGTGGCTTTTCATTGGCCAGAAAAAGGAGAGTGTAACCCACCTGTGAAGGTGTTTTCACCCATAAGAGGGATGTGCAGTGATGGGTGTGTGGAAAACGCAGTCGCCCGGTGGAGAACTCTGCCGCCGTGGATTCTGTTGAATTGATTTCGATGTCCTTGGGATCCTCGTGGGAGATTGGCGTGTGAATGTGTGTGCAGTCAAATGTGGATTCTGTGTCCTTGTGTGTCCAAACTTGTGTGTGTGTGGAACCCATGTGCGCCGAGGAGAGCTGTCCAGAGTGGTGTGCTCAGCAGTCGTGCTCGGCTGCACACTAACTGGATGTGACAGGGTAGAAATACCAGTACCAACCGCGCTCTCGCCCACCCACCGTCACACACACCA